CAGTCTAGAGCTACCCAACTTTGGAGCTTGCCAGACTTATTTATTCATTCATTAGTTTAAATACATATTGTTTAGGTTCATTACATAATTGACTCGAGAACACCAACTAGTAAGAACTACAAGTTCTAAAACCAAAATTACTATACTTAGGTACAAAAATTTCTTTTCATTATTTTCCAATTGTAAGTATATAATGCTTAATAAAATATTTAATTTAAAATATTTGTCTTCTAATACGAGTTCTGTAGTTGAATAAAGGACGCTTTCTTCTCCACCTTGGAAAGCTAGTTAATCCGGTTGCTCACAGTCAAGTTTACGTATAATATAATTTATTATATTGTTATACGGATTGGACCCGTGCCCAACTTGTTAAGCTTGTTAAACAGTAAGATAATCTATGCAATTTCTTAACAAAATGAAGTTGTAAGATGATTATTTAAAGTAGGTACCAAGGTACATATACTTTTTTATGTAATTAGTCGGCAAACGAGCATATCGATTACCTAATGAAGAGCAATAAGCGCTGCCCATAATGTAAATCTCCGGAACTATTCGTTCGAATTGAATAATTATTTGCGTTTTAAATATTTTATTTGTCGAAGAACGTTATAATGGGGATAACAAAGCGAGACTAGTTAGTGTACTAAGATAATGCCAACGTATCGTTAAAAAGGGTTACAGTTTTTTTTTTAAACTGAACAATTCAAAACAATCAATTAAAACATCCTACCACCAAAAACCTACGTGCCAATTGGCACAATTCGCTTACACTATCACAATCTCACAAAGGAAATACCAATCGGCAGTTTGTTTTGTAATTTTGAAAACAAATCGTTGTGTTAGGAAACAACATGGCAATAGCGAAGATGCCTTACAAATCGTTAAGTGTAGTGTTTCGCATTTTACGTAAGATGGTGGCTGGTAATGGCAGGTAATGGGTAGCGGGACTGAAGCTATGATTGCGGGTTTCATACATAACATGTCACACTGACAGCCCGTAGAAAGCAGACGGTACTTACTGCGGGACGGTATGGTTACGGTTTTGAATATGCGATTCGAAATGCCAGATATTTAAAAATGGAATGGCGCACAGACTGCATAACGATATAGGCTATTTAAATCAGTACGATTTTTGATAGAATTCGTGCGAAATAGTTCTGAATATAATTGAATTAAGTGTATATTTACTCTATATAGAAACTTCTTAAGCATTTTCCGAAGCATCCTTTATTGAGCAGTTATAAGCGATTTTCAATGTATATACAAACTAAAATTGCCTCTATCTGGAATTGTACTTGGTATATGCATATGGCAGGAAGGCAATGGTTTGCTTGGTTTATGCTTATGTTTGATTAATGGTAAAAGCCAGTGCAGATTTCGACACAAATTCTTATAAAACAAAATTCCATCTGTTAACCAGAATTACAGCTGCAATACGTTTAGTTTTAGAAGTACATTTTGTATGCACATATTGTGCTAGTTACCCATTAGATAAGATAAGTGGAGCGAGCGAGTTCATTGCTCAAACGCAGCATAATAATTTAAACGCGAAATTATACAAAGTTGGACATATAAATGCATGGAGTTCTGCCATAATTATGTTGTCAATGCAAAAATGTTACGCGGTTCACGTTACCGTTTTCGTCGAATATGGCTCGTGTTCAATGTCAGTAATCTATACCATCTATGCTAATATAATAAAGAGGTAAAATTTGAAGTTTGTATGTTTGTAAGTATGTTTTATTTACCTTTGCCTTGGGTGTTGTAACTTATTATCTATATTTCTATACTAATATTATAAAGAGGTAAAATTTGTAAGTTTGTATGTAGGGGGTAATCTTTGGAACCGCTGGTCGGATGGCCAAAATTCTTTCACTGATAGATAACTACAATGTTTCTGAGTGCTATAGGCTATAAAACATCATGCTACGATTAAAAGGAGCCGAGCAGCGGTTGAAGCCACGCGAGAGTAGCTAGTAAGTATTATTATATTTGGTCTTTCAGTCTTGAGAGTTCAGGTAATCATTTATACCACTCATGAAAGCCTTCTAGAATGTGCACTGCTCTAAACAAACAACTACGTACGAAATTAATATCGTATTACAAAGGACGTTTATAAGGACATGCAAATGTAGGTAAATAAACAGTCAATGCTTAAAAACTTTTAAAATGTCGTTTGTTTTTTAGTTGTCTTCTGTGTCAAACATACAACCGTACAAACCTACAGTCTATATGTCATTAGACCCGATTGGTTAACTAATAATTTTTAGATGATCAGGGGATAATTTTCAAAAGGCCTATCTTTTTTGGTGACCGGCTAGAAAAAGACTACAGATCCTATTAAGAATGACAATATTAACATATCACATCATCTATAACAGCCTTTTTCATGTGTACATTTGGACTAAGGCCATTATTTTCCACTCTTGGTCCTAGGCAACAGACATCCAATCCATGTCGTCCTTCCAACGCGTCGGTGGTCTTCCTCTTGATTTCAATTAAAGTAATCATCAAGTGAACCACGCATCCACCAGGCGGACAACGTGTCCCAACCATCCATATATAGGTACCTACAAAAATAAATTTTCCTAGCAAGCCTAACATTGTAACTTAAAAATTATAACAATTACGAACACATTCATGGTCCGTCGCGGGGGCAACCGCATTTAATTGGATCTTAGCTCACTTTATTCGAAACAGACCGAGGAATAAAATCTAAATATTAATTGAACGAATTAACTAATTTCTTAAGGTCAGTCTGGTGTTAGTTTTGTAATTTACAGACGGCCCACATACTAATACATTGTTACAATAATGTAGGTTCAATACTTATAAGTAATTTGAAACTGTTTGTACTTATTTTGTTTAAAAGCAAAAAATTGTTACAGTGACTTATTGGGTTTATTATTTAAGGGAAAATTACTTCGATTTTTCACCAAATAGGTAATAGGTTAATATACATATAGATGGATCTTTGTTTTTCCGAGCGAAGCCATTGACGGAAGCTCGTATGTCAATTATTTATTATCATTTCGTAATCTGATTTTTTGCCATTGATTTGATTTTAATATTGACTTTCCTTGTTATGTTATTCGAAGACTAACCTTAACGAACCTTCTTAGACAGTTCAGAAGTTAACTTTCCAAATTGAAGTGCCTAATTAACTTAATGATATTTAATATAGCTCAATGGCTTCTAAACATTTCTTCTTTCAAATGTTTCAATATGTTTTTTTTCCAACAATAAGTTTGCACGCTCGCCGCTTCAAACCGACCGGGCGAATTAAGGTCTTAAAAAAAACGTTAAACTCTACAAATAAAATATAATAACACAGTGCAATTCTTTGAGGATGACTCATCAAACATTTTTGTTACTGGTCACATTTTTTGTGTTCGTAATACTAACCTATAACCTCGATTCATTGAAGACTTTAAATTCTCATCTTCCATATTATCAAAACCTGAGATCATCGTTGTAAATGAACAGGTAAGCACTAGTTTTAAATTAAGTGGCTATGGTGTTAAACACGTTAATATGTAAAGAATATATTAGCGACAATTTATGACAAAGTTATTGTACAATTTATCTACAGTCAATTTTTGCATTTGTTTATTATCAAGTCTAACCTATTTTTTAACCGACTTCCAAAAAGGAGGATGGTTCTCAATTCGACCGTATATATGCTTTTTTTATGTTTGTTCGCCGATATCTCCGTTATTTATGAACCGAATTTGATCATTCTTTTTTTGTTTATATTCTTTTCGACTTCCAAATTCGCCATAGCACCCCTGTTGAAAGTCATACTTGAAACTACGTGATAGTGGAAATAATGTCAGAAAAATATCAAAATGATGAGGTCAGTGTCTGTCTGAGACTTAATACGACACTAGCGCCACACTTTGCCCGCACGTTGACTCACCTGCGCGTGTGCCTGCGATTACAGTTCGTTAACATCAAACCATTGTTTCAAGTATATTTCGGCTATATCGAATCATGAGAAAAGTCAAGTTGAACATATTTTTTGTTTAGATTACTTAAGTGAAGATATTTTTTTAGTTTAATTAAAGCAATTGTTCGATTTTTTTGCTGTATTCTGAATGCTTTTTGATGTCATTGACACCATTTTCGATGAGGGTAGGAACAAATCTAAGGTTTTTGTGTTTACGCTGTCATACATCCGAGGCACTCTTAATAATTATACCTATCGTTATAATCAGTAAGATAATATTATTGTGGTAAGATTATCTACCATTTTTGAGATGTAATAATGTGCGTACAATAAATACAATTTAATAAAAGCTATTCTTGATTTACTTACATACATATTCATATTCTTCTTGTCATTAATATCATCGAAAATAATAAAGTATTTACAGTAATACTAATGACAAATTAATTTAGATTGTCAGTCATGGGTTTCTAAATAATCCAGAGCAGTAGGACAGAGATTTCTTTGTGAGCTGCAATTTTGCAAGTATCCAACAGCAATTAATGTTTGTGGAGAATTGATTTAAGATAATCCGTGGCTTTAACGGCTCATTGAGGCCTTAGAATGGCCTCATTCCGAACTTAACTATCGTTGAGATCGAAACTTTTTGTTATAAACATTGTTGGCTGAAACACTTGTTGCCTTTTGAAGACAATCGAATCAATCGAAGTAAAAAAAAAACAAAATCGATTTTTATGTATGTCGTTTAACGTTTCGTATTTTTTTTCAATTGAAAAAAAATATAACAAATAGTACTGTTTCAGTAGAATAAGTTTGTAATATAAAAACTGATGACGAATAACTTCAGTGCTAAATGTTCGGCTCAGCAAACACGTTCATAGTTCAACTAACACCAACGTCTTAATCGTCCTCTCATGGCTGAGAACTCGTGATTTCCTTATTTTTATAAAGTATCATAAGAGAGACAAGGTTCAGAATGAACTAGCACGTATTATGTTGTATTAGTTCGATATAAAAAGTTGTAAAGTTTGAACGTTTTCATTGAGCTTACCGGTAACAGCCAACGGGACTCCGGCGTAACACTTCAAACTGAACACAGAATCACTGAACACAAAACAAATTCAAACGACACTAAACTCACGAAAACATAAAAAAAAACATTAATTTTATAAATGTTATTACAGTTGGTATATCGTTATAAATTCGTTCGTTTCGATGACAGACCTCGTTTCTATATTAGTTTGTTATTTCTGCGAGCTACTCCAGCGGCTATACGACCGTGCGGAGTCGTACTGAGTCAGTGACACTGCGCAAGTCGCCCCCTCTCTCTCACACCCCGCTTCACTCAGGTGAAAAGAACGAGACAAATAATCATTGGAATGCATCAACATAAAGAAGGTAGTATTGCGTGGGTGTCTCGCCTTCATATCAGGTTATGCTATGAGTGCGAAAGGGACAGTGATAGTCTTTAGCCTTTCTGAGGTTCACGGTGAGTAAGTACGGCAACCATGCGTAGAAATTATGTGGAAAAATGAGGCTTTCATTGTTAAGGCGATGTGCTTTGAGGTGATCAAAAATTTAATGTACCTGATTGACATTCTGGATACTACTATTATTTCTAAAATAAATATTTGAATTGATCTCGGTTTTTTATGGAACTAATGTAAAAAATCTATCTTTATCATGAGCCATATTTTCGATTTGTTTAAAGTTTTATTTATTGTTTTTATTTTTATAATTTAATTTTAATCTCATATTGATGCTGTAATTTTTTCATTCTTTAACCCGCTGAATGTCGGTTTATAAGACACAATAGAAAATACATTGTGTCTCGCGTGGATCCACGTTTAAGACATACGAAAGGTTAAATAATAAATCCCACGTGCATTTATTTAATCACATAATTTGATTAAATGAATTATAATCAATTTTCCAACTTAGGAACACCGAGGCGTGATGGTACATTGTGAAGGCTGCGCCTTAACAGACATGTTTCAGTAATGTTAAGCAAAATTGAACCCTACCACTCTGTATTTAAATTTCAATTTTCAAGTAACAATCACCTGTTCTTAAAATCAAGTGCAAACATGGGAATGAAGTTAGGTACAAATAAAGTTTGGCAACGTCGCTAACTGTTAAGTTTCGTTTGAAGTTAACTGCAGTTAGTTTAGTTTGCTGCATCTCACCGAGGTGGAGGTTGTGTCGCTCTGAGATGCATATGTTCGTGTTTTTAATAAATAATTAATGCATTTGTAAATATTTTGAAAAAATATACGAATAAAAATGATTGGAAGTGATTATACTTTGGAATTGTGTAATGTGTTTCATTCGGGACAGGTTTGTAAATTGTTTTTATATTGTTTCAATGGTTCGGTCGCAAGCGCAACAGTTGTGAACTTCTTAGTTGTCAAAGTACCTCAGTTCTAAATTTTAACATGGAATTACAATTGGCGTAAATTTTATAGTAATTGAACAAATCTCAATAATGATTGAGAATTTGGACAAAAGACGTGTTTGAAATTGAAGTTTTGTGAATTTGTTTTTATTAATTTAAATAATTTTTAATCAAATACACTTATTTAAACGCTTTAGTTATTGTTTATTTTGGGTTTGAAGTGTAATGTCTTGTAATAATGCGTTGAAGTCTTTTGCACTACGGGATTACAGTACCTAAATCAGGTCAAGTACAAAATTGCTCTTGAGAAGTGAAGGATTCATATAAATACTATCGAGTTTATTATTAAGTATAGCATTTTGGTGTGAACAAAATAAAAGGTTTTCGATTTTCTCGTTTCCAATAAACTTTCTATTGTTGAAAAAAAACATAAGGATAGAAAAGAGTACATTACCTTTGGTATCGTTTTATAACAAGTGTTACTAAAAATATATTATATTATATTTCAGTAACACTAATAAGAAAATACGATTTTCACTCAAAAATAGAAATAAAAATTGATATTAGTTTTTTATTACATAAATCGCGTATAACACAATATGTAGTTGTTTTCATATCTAGGTATGTCTTTCTTAAATCGCTTATTAAATATTTGTTGTTTTCAATCCGTTCCCACGTAGGTGGAGCCTGGCAGTTTTTTTCAGCGACTGACTGGCGGTGTGAAGACAGGGGTCATCCTGAAAGATGTCTCTTTCACGACACACAGTGGCGAGGTCACTGCCATATTGGGATCAAAAGGTAAGATTATACAATTATTTAAGGTTTATGCTGTAATAGTTCTTATCTTTGTGTTGGATAGGGTGGCAAACGAATGGAATGGTTAGCAATCGGTGCTGCCCTTTAACACTCGCAATACTAAAGAAGTTTTTAAAGCATTGCTGGCCTAAATATATTATGTATTTTATATTGGGTATCGGTATCGGTATTTTGGGGCTAATAATAGGGGAACAGAGTATTGGGCCATCAGTAAACGCAATCACACGGTGAGACACAACGCGAGCATTGCTTAACGCTAGTTACAAATATACTATGAACGAAAAATAATTAGGAATGTCATGAAATTTTTGAAACCTTTGTCTGTCTACCGAAGACAGGTTGTCTTGGGGTTTTAATGATATATAATAAAATAAGGTGTCGCTCATATCTTAATTTGTAACTGCTCGTTAGCAAAACAAAAGTTCCGTGATTCTTCGGATTCAATTCCTGGAACCGAGGCGTTTGTATATGTACATAAGTACTCTGTTTATGGCAACATGCTCCTCCACTATTACACGATGCTACTGAACTGAACTAAAACTAAGATAGAAACACCTTCGATACTAATGATGATTCACAAAAATAGTACTACAATGTTCATACCTCTTTAATTCGCTAGGCAGTGGTAAAAGAGCCCTCCTGGACGTGATAGCTCGTCGCGTGCCCTCGAAAGGCCACATCTTGCTGGAGGGAGTGCCATTGGAGGCTGACCACTTCAACAGCACCTGTGCTCTGGTGCGACACAACACACGACTTCTGCCAGGGTTGAGCGTGCAGCAAACGCTGAGCCTCTCACTTACAAAGGTAAAGATATATCATTCATCATCATTATCGTCATCCGACAAAGTGTCCATTGCTAAGCAAAGACCTCTTCTTTCGCGGAGAAGGTTTGTACATTAATAACGGCGTTAAGGTTTAGATTTCAAATCTACAATAAGAAGTTTTTAGTCCAGCTTTTCTTCACCGTATATCAGCGTGGTAAGTTCATCATTCGGAAAAATACACATAAGTACTTGCGCCCTCGTGCTTGAGAGCTGGCCATCACGATATTTGGTTCAGGATACCACGACGCACTTACACGAAATAGAATTATTCTATGCAAAACCGAGCTAATAAGTCTAGTCTATCATAACAAGTCGCATTTCTTTTCCAGGTTTCAGGATACTTGAAATCATCAAAAGTGAAACAAGTTATGGCTGATCTAGCATTGTCTAATGTAAGTTTTAAAGATATTTCTATAGGTTCAATATAATGATACAAATAAACTGTTCTAACCAACAAAAAAATGAATTGATTTCCCAGGTTGCTAACAAATGCGTGACGAATCTCACAAAGAGTGAATACAGGAGATTAGTTATCGGTGTACAATTAATCAGGGATCCAAGTAAGTGACATGACCGTATTAAGACTGTTGCTTAAACGTTGATCGAGAAAGCATGATCTTCTATCTCTGTTATTCCAATCACTTTAAAATAACCGCTACTTAATTCTGCCCGGTTGGTGAAGTAGGTGGGCAACTAGCTGCTGTGCAATGTTACAAGGTCAAATTCCCGGACAGAACAACACTTCATGTACCTAATCAAATCAAATCAGGTCTGGATAGTTTGTGTGTGAGAACTTGTATGTTTGCAAACGCACTTATGACACAGAAAAAAATCCTTGTGTAAAGTAACGTTGACAAAATTCGTCTGCATATCCCTTTGCGAGTAAAGCGAAACTAAGAGGGTATAAAACCTCTTTTCAGAAAGGAAAAATTTGCCTTAACAATGCTCAACTTAACCTTATCACAACTCTAACGTACAACTCTGTTCCAGTCATTTTACTGCTGGACGAACCGACCTGGGACCTGGATCCCCTGAACACATACCTGGTGATATCAATACTCTCTAATGCTGCGAAAAAGTACGGTACCGACATCATACTCACAATGGAGAAGCCTAGATCAGGTCAGTTATCTATCTATACTAGTTTGTACTATACATATTATATAATTATAAAAAAGAAATATTTGTTTTTTTGTTTCGTTAAACTGAGAAAATCGATCAACTTGGGACATCACTGTGTTGCTCGCCAAATGGGACACATCACTAACTTTTTCACTTGGACAGAGCTTCGCGCACGAGACGATTGTCTTTTAAAAGATAATGAATGGTTCAAACTTTATTAAACTTGTGAATAGAGTCAATTTGTTTAATAGTTTGTATGTAGGTACTGAATAAGCTTTAAAACTCCTTGACCAAGAAAAATCACGGGACACAGTTTTACAGTATTTTATAATTCTTCTTCTTTTTTTTATGGTATAAATCGGCAAACGAGCTGACGGATTACCTGATGGTAAGCAATCGGCGCCGCCCATGGACACCCGCATCACCAAAGGAGTTACGAGTGCGTTGCCGGCCTTTTGGGGATAGGGGTTGCGGATATAAGGATTGGGAAGGGATAGGGGAAGGGTAGGGATTGGGCCTCCGGTAACCTCACTTACACGGGATACACAACGCTGTGGGTTGTTTCACGCCGGTTTTCTGTGAGTCCGTGGTATCACTCCGGTCGAGCCGACCCATTCGTGCCGAAGCTTGGCTCTCCCACAGTTAAACTTCTTCTGACCTATTTCTTTTTTATTAGATTAGGAATAGACGCCGATTTGGTAAACGTAATTTAGAAAAACAGTAGTAGTTTAGTTATTAAAGCATTTTATATTGTATGTAGCGAATACGTAAATTAGCAAATGTCCTGTCGACACGTTAATCAATATCTAAATGGTACTCTAATTAAATTTATCTCTTTTAAAACATATTTTCTCCTTATTAAGTGCAGTACCTATACAAATCTGCCATGTACCATCTACATTTCACCTACATAACGTCCATTATAATGCTAATAACATATGTTGTTGACAATGTAGATACCTACTCTATATACTATTATATTTACGCCTCGTTTTATTCATATGTTACTGAAAACATTTACTATGCATATGTGCACAGGTGTACGATATGTGGAAATATAATTTCTCTACCGTATTTCATAATTATGCCATCGGGTCACTGTACTCTGACATCTTTTGTTTCTTAAGGTCTATTTTATTAAAAAGTATTAACTCAATGTACGCTAAATTTAAATTGAAAAAAATAAGCGAGGCTGTACCTACTATATAGATGAGAACTGATTAGTAAACAGACAGAAAAACATGTTAATAAAACACGAAGAAAATATATTACCCAAGCAATGTCTTAATAATACATATAATCCTTTCACTTATCTGATAGATGAACATGATCAATAGGCATACCTAGCTTACTTATCTAAACGCATAATAACCATGATCTGACGGATAAGGGGGAGGCTTTTATGCAACAGTAGACTTAAAATTAATGTACAAATGTCTGACAATTCAAAAGGGGTTTTACCGGCTCATTAATGTTTACGCATGATAGGCCAGGGATTCGCAGATACGCATATCTTGATTATTGTTCTCGACATTAATACACCCGTTCCCTTGACAGCCTTAAAAGGCATTCTAGCCAAATGTTTTATAAAAGCTATTTTAAACAATTAGGGGTGTATAAAAAAAACTGTCAATCTCAACTATGCCTAATATTGCAGATGTCTTCCCATTTCTGGATCGCGTCGTGTACCTCTGTCTCGGAGACGTGGTATACGCTGGGCCCACGAGAAACCTCCTGGACTACTTCGGAAGTATCGGCTTTCCATGCCCACAGCTGGAGAACCCTTTAATGTATTATTGTAAGTGTTATTCCCAGATTTTTTGCATTTTATAAGGCGCTTTTTCTGTACCTATTCGATTGTAGATATGCTTAATTTGTTGCATGAATTATTTATTCCCAAAATGTATGCTTCAATCTTTTAAAACCACGCAACGAATTTCAATGTGTTTTGTGTGTACAAAAGTAAAACACCGAAACGCCTAACTCCTTAACTGCTACACTAAAATTAAATACTCTATAAGGTATTTAAACCAAGGGGTAAATTAAAATTTTACAGATTTGCGAGGAACTAGAGAAAATAGTGCCTTGGCAAACTTAAAACGTACAAAGTACATTAATTTAAAAAGGTGTTAAGCTACTTCTAAAAAAATTACCTAAATAAAAATAAGTTAACATGGGATGATTTAATAAAGAACTTACCCCCTCAGTATGCCTATCTACGGTGGACCGAAGATCACGAGAAAGGTTTATAGAATCTAACCACCAGATAGCAGCACTAGTGGAGAAATTCAAGCTGGAAGGTCAGGGCATAATGCAGGGCAATCTGCACGAGAACAACCGCATTGTGAACCCTAACAAGATACAAATGAACTATGGAAAACCAGGAGGCCTACACGTTATATGGATGTTGTATTTGTAAGTAAATAAATAGATAGAAGAATAATAATCGTTATGGAATTAAAATTGGAAAGTCGATATGGAATTAAAAATTACAATTTATAGCAACCTCGTCAAAGTCAAAGCATCTTTATTGTTGTCGTTTCGCCAGTTATTTTTTATTATGCATACATCTACTACCAAAATGACGATGCAGTTGAGTTCGAATACAGAAGTAGACACTGTTGAACTGTAATCTTCAACTGAAACCATCAAGGGTTTTCAAGTTCATTATTAAGTATCTAGTGATCACTTTATTAAAGTATCTGTAACTAATAATAAATGAATAGCTAATTCGATGCCATGCAGACAATTACTTAAATACGAACAGAATTTGTACATCGAAAATATGAAAGTGTCTAAAGTTTCATTTATTTTTTGCAGGAGGCTACTAGTGTCCATATTTAACCTGAAAAAGAACGGTATGAAGCAAATGTTCATGAGACTATTCAGTCTGCCGTTATATTTCTTCGTTATGTGGATATTCTACAATGAAGCCAAGGTAAGACGGAAAAAAAACCGACCATATTTAAGTGTGGGTGCGCATCAGCACGAATGGGTCAGCTCTGGAGTAGTACCATAGCCTAACAGAAAACCGGCGTAAACAACTTTTTTGCTATGTTTCGGTGTATGAGTGAGGTTACCGTGGGACCGATCCTTCACCTACCTTAATCCCTAAATCTCCCAAAAAGATCGGCAACGTACTCGTAACTGCTCTGTTGTTACCATTAGGTAATCCGTCCCCGTCTTGGGGTAAACGTGTTGTAGTGTGGAGACTACGTCTAGAAAGATGTACCTAGTGTAGGGCGCCCTCTAGCTAGGTGGACTGAGAATATCCGCAGGGTGGCTGGCAGTGGTTGGATGAGAATAGCTGAACATCAGCTCAGTGGCGTGCAATACGGTAGTTTCCAACTAGTCAAATTCAATACTTTTATCCAAATGTCAAAAACGATACTTTTCTATGAAATTTGTATGAAAAACTGAGCTATGACGTCATAACATTTTTGCGTCAAATAGCTTACTTATTTCACAATAATTAGCTAAAAAAATCTAAAACTTGGTGTATCGATCGATCGATGAATAAAAGTATAGTTATTTTTCAATATTTTATTGTATTGAAACATCGAATTAATTTATTTTTGACCTAGGAAACTACCCAATTGGGGAGGCCTATGTACAGCAGTGGACGACATCAGGATGTTGATGATGATGATAATTATGAATCCGTCTGCTCGTTTGCCGTCCTATCACATAAAAAATGCAGGTTTTGGTAATGGTAAGTAATAGGTACCGCCCATGGACATAAGCAATATCAATGGAGTTACGTGCGTAGTTGGACTCTCATAAGATCGAAATCCTCTTTGGCGAAGGAGTAAAGGAGGGGTAGAAATTACCTATTGGAAATTTAAAGACTGCTGATAAAGAAAGGATTGGTTTGTCTAATTCTTAGTGAAAAAATATATCGACACTACGTACTTATAATTTATAAGAAACTTTGTGCTTCCAGGATTATCAGAGAGCTTTCATCACAAAGAGTGGTCTGATCTTCAACGCAATGGTGGGGACCTACTTCATCAGTATTATGAACACGATTTGTCTATGTAAGTTTTGAACAGAACTACTTTTAGTCTACAACATTTTCTAAGAATTTAAACACAAAGGTACCTATTCCGAGCTGTAAAATCTAGTTACCTACAGTACTTATGCTTAACTGACTTTTTAATTCGACCGTCTTCAACCGACCGAAAGACGATGTATGTATAAGTAGTTTGCTTTTTATTTATTAATGGGCTTTCATTTGGCCGCTATCCCGCCTGGTGGTAAGAGATGATGCGACCTAGGTACCATGGAGCACGCCTCCCCATAAGCAACTTATTCACTCGGACTTTGGAGACAGCTAGGTACCCTTCGGGGATCGCAAATCCCGGCAAAGAATTCCACTCCTTAGCGGTTCTGCTGATAAATTGGAGTTCCTATATTCTTAGAAGTTTATACTTTTTTTATCCATTGAAACAAAACACCAGCTTATGTAGTACCTAGAAGATACTACACAACATTTACTAATTTATTAATCTGTTCTACCTACAGATAGTCCATATCGTACACGTTACTACCAGGAATCCCAAGAAGGTCTCTACAGCGGCGCCAGCTTACTCCTATCATGGAACCTCGTCTCACTGCCATTCTCTTTCCTCAGCACTCTAGCTTCTGCTGCTGTTATTTATCCGTAAGTGCTTACTTTTCGTTTTTCTTCTCCTCAAATAATATCTTCTAATTTATTCCGTTACGGGATCCAAGATAGTCATTAATGAAAAAATACTTACTTGCCTACTTTTTTTGGAAGCAAAATCATTGAGTGATTTCTCCTGCCGAAAAACGGTAGGAATCACCTAAATCTTCCACTAGGTAGTAACAAACACAATGTCACGTTGTTTCAAATGTACCACCACAGTGGAGGAGGACCCATGGAGGTCACCGGTGACAACCAGCAGCGGAGGATTTGCCTTCAATCGTTTTCTGTCGGCAGTCAAAGGCTAATAGCGGCGTTGGCGTTTTAATATTACTTTTTTCTTTATATGTCCCCACTCTAAGATTTCCTTCTGTGTCTTGGATGCATTTACAAATATATCTACTTACAAATTCACATAGGTAGATACAAATCACACACCAGAAACACCAATTTCTGGATCACACAAATATTTGGTCCGTGCAGGAAACACGCCAAACATTCAGTAAAACTAAACTTTCATAAAACTTCTTCCATCTTCAGGATCCTATCGGACTTATCAGAGAACATGGACTTCTTGTACTTCGCGCTTGCGCTGTGGTCGTGCTACGTGTACGCGGAACAGCAAGCTATAGCCATCATGATGTTCGTGAAGAACGGCCTCGTAGCCGGCATCGTCAACATATACATCTCCTGCATCTACATCATGCTTGCTAGTGGAGTTCTGAGGTAAAGATATCATTTTCCTTTTTAACTAGTTTTTTATCTCATACAGCAGATATGAGAAACCTACATATACACGATGAAAACTGAAACCTACTTTTTTATAATACAACAGGATATTTCCTCCTGTGTCGTGGGTGCGTTTACAGACACCAAGACCCAGAACAACAATTTGTATATCACACAATGGGTTGTTCCGTGCGGGAATCGAACCGGTGACATGTTGCGCGGTAGCCAGTTGCCCAGGCACCGCGCGAACCGTGCAGTCAAATTGTTTTTGATATCTATGTGCATTTCCATCTACACTTTCAGGGGCGACTACTTACCTATAAAAATACTTTATTTACAGATCATACAAAGGCTTCGAAGAATGGCTATACTACTTGACATACATCACTCACACGCGGTACGCGTCTATCTTCATGCACCGCAACGTCTTCAAGCAGCCGACGTTCAACATACTCCCATACAGCGACCAGGAAAATTGCACGTCAACTATATCTAGTCTTCTACAAACTTCTGCTAGTAGCAATACTAACTCTAATGCGAATTGCCGGTATGCCAGCGGCAAAGCTTTCCTCACTGAACGCTTCACTTCCAAGAATTTCAATGGGGATCTCTACTCAGCTGGCGATTTCAACCCCGAATTCAACTTAGGTGTTTCTTTTGCCTTCTCCCTCGGTATAATGGTGTTCAACAAGTTCTTGTACCTAATGCCTCTGCCGAGCTACATAACTGATAAGTTTAGAGAATAAGTTTAAAAAGAATGTTATTGGTGATTATATCTATAGAATCTGATGTCCGTCCAAATTATGATTATGAGATTTTTATGTGTTAATTATATTGTAATAAATAATTATTATATTTGATGACATTTTCATTTTTTTACACCGACACAGCATTTGATATTATAAAAAGCATTATTTACACCCAATGATCTAAAAAGTCGGTGACACAAGCATCTCATTGTTCGATGACTTGTTGCTCAAAATATGTATTTTACACATATTTATGGCATACTAGCTACTCTCGCGCGCCCGCCGCTCAGCTCCATTCAATTGTAGCGTGATGTTTTATAGCCTATAGTACTCAGGAACATTGAAGCTATCTATGAGTGAAAGGATTTTGGCAATCCGACCAGCGGTTCCAAAGATTACTCCCTACATATAAACTTACAAACTTTACCTCTTTATAATATTAAGTACAGACGAAGCACACAATAGGCTTGAACTTAAATCGGTCAGGATTCCTGGTGTGGCGTGTTTGTATATATTTCGATCCGAAAATCCCCATGATACGTTGTCTAAGATAGGACTCAAAAACTTAACTATTCAGCCGCAATTCTTTATAATATAAGTATAGATAGATAGCAATGGCAATGCCAATACGGCAAACGACTGGACGGATAACTGATGGTAAGCAACCGACTTCTTTTACTTTATGCCGGCTTCATCTAGTTTTTGACATATAAATTGACGTGTAAAAGTGCCGTTTTATGGCCTATTTGCAAAAATAAATTCATTGTTTCATTGTTTCGACCACGTAGTTACTAAAGTGTTGCCACACTAATAACTCTGCAAGAATGATCTTTCTCTCTCCTTGGGAATCGTGAATTAGAAGTGTTAGAAGTTCGTTAATATAGGTATTGGAGGTACTCAAAAGGTGGGGACGAGGGTCAACGGTAACCTCACGCGACGAAACATAACGCATTGGTTGTCACGCCGGCTTTACTCTGGTCGAGCCAGGTCGTGCCAAAGCATGGCTCTCCCACATTTGTTATACTATCCTTTAGAAAATGAAAAGTAGGTTATAGTATAATGAAAATCTCATAAATAATTCTTCATAAGATACATTTTATTAACTTACACTTACATATCACGCACTACTTAGTAAAAACCACGTTAAAATTATGATTGATTGTTTCTAGCCAATACTACTAAGATCATTGGTAAGAATCATTATGTATAGCATATTATTATAATGTTGTATGGACATATTTATTATCATATTTTTATATGAAAAATGAATCTTGAATAACTACTACTTGATACATGGTTTACAAAAATTCTTATATATTCACGAAAATTCATTCAATTACATGAATTCTTGACATTGAGAAGTTAAATACAGCTAAAGTTTGTGTAACACATAAACTTCTCCCTATATGACGGGAGTTTGTCATAGACTGGTATTATACACAAATATGTAAACACATTAAAAAAATAAATTACATTAAATATGTGTAAAAAGTAGTTCTCCGGTCTCCCACACAGCTCATTAAAATATAACAAACTATTTTAAATTGTAATTTTGCTATAAAAAAATGGGTCTAGACTTTCAATTGTTCTAAGAATCTTAACCACTCTTGTTGTACGATGTCCAACTAAAGTTGGACGTCCACATCACGATTCGACACCACTGTGCCTTAACAATACATTCGGGAAGACTCAACTCACTCAACCGGGATAACTTGAAACTAAACTTTTAGTCAATCCAATGGTTTTTACCCATTGCTGTTTTAAAATTATTGTGTACTTTTTCTTTGACAGTCTTTCTGTTATTGTTACTAACACATACCTGTTAAACTGAGGGTAAACGTCTTTTGCTTATTTGGTGGCGCTAGTGAGCTTTATGGTCCTTTTAGTCTCTTCTTAGCTGTGAAAAGTTAATTCATTGGCTTGGTTTTAAGTCTTGATGGAGATGCATTATGCCAAAGTAACGCCAAACACAAACGCCATAGCCCCCCCCCCCCCCCTCCCCCAATCACGATATTACCAATTAGAGTTTAATATTTCCATTAATCATTTATGAAACTTGGTAATCTTATACCTAGGTACTGTTTATGGATTCATGAGATGGTAAAATCGTCGATAACTTTTAATTCTTTGTAGGGATACAGCACTGCTGAATCTGTTGTTTGTTCACTTTCACTTTCAGCTCGTAAACATGCTGATCCGTCTTCTGCAAGGAAAAAAACTCTACATTAAAAACAAGTAAGTTGGTAAAAAATATTAAAACTAAAAATACTATATAAATAATAACTAAAAGACAATAATGTGATAACTGATTACTAATAAACATTTTTTACTATTTTGGCATTGTCTCTTTGACTTTCAAAAATGCCATTTATATTTGAAGAAAGTCGTCCTATTTTTGTTATATTAAGCAATATTACACAAATATGTACAAAAAGACTTACCTCCATACACTATAATTGGTTTGTTTAACTTTGTCACTGTGACCTGCAATAAAAATTATAAAATGTTCATTTATTTCTGTTTTCCACCATACTCACTCAAAGTGTTCCGTCAGTATTGGGGTTGCACAAAAACTAGGAGCGTAATTACAGCCATATTTTCCTTATCAAATATATGGGTATTTTATTAAATTATTGGCCCTAAGGAAATTGTACATGTATCAGAGAAAAATGATAAAAACTTTCAAAAATTAAAACACTAAACTAACAAAGTTTTTGTTAAAAAGTTGCTAACACCCTACATTGGTTATCACAAGCTGGGGTATCAGTTTGCCAAAGAAAGGCGTATTATTTAATTTGTTGGAAAAATATAATGATTTATATTTATGATGGAATAGTATTTTTTTTATTTATGTATTACTTTATCTCTTTTTCGAAATATTTACCCTTCCTAAGGGCTCCAAAACAAATTTTTGTATATGGAACCCCATTAACAGTCGTCAACACTTGCACTTGTGACAAAAACTTGTAAAAAAAACATAAATCAAGCAAAAACTTACAGGAGACAATACAATCTCTCTATATTTCTTAAGATAAAGCTTTAACGGCTCCACATAGTTGTCGAAGCCCAGTGCATTCATTGCAAACAAGACATCTTCTCCGTTGATGGTCTTCCTCTTCTCAACTTGGCAGCGATCACTGGCTTCACTTGTGACAAATGAGATAAACTCTGATATGCATTCTTGTACACATTCCCTTGCGTCTTTGGCAATCTGTTGAAAGTAGATATGTTAAAATGTTTTGGATAAAATAAATGCATTAATGTCTGGGGAGGCCTATGCCCAGCAGTGGATGACAACAGGCTGATGATGATGATGATGATGATGAAATGCATTAATATGGGATAGTCTTTTTAAGAAAAGGATGCTCATGTGCTTGTATTACATTAAAACCTTGCAATTATCTAAAGAATCTGTAATTTAGTCTTGCCTATGATTCAGCCAGTATTCTTTGATAATCTGGTAAAAATTGGTTAACATTCAATAAAAGATAATATCTTGACTTCAAAGCAATAATAGGATTTAATCTAATACTTACTTTTCCATTTTCAGGAATAGCTCTTTTCATTATTTTAGCAATATTTGCAATAGGCAGGAACCTGTCCTGTTCCCGCAAAGGAGCATTTTTGCTTCCTGAATCAGAGTTATTCTCTTCATCTGAAATTTAAGCATTTATTTTAAAACAGATTTGCTTTGTGTAAACGATAAAAGGTTTAACATTAACACTGAAACATAATACTACTAACAAAACTTGTTGCAAATTTGTTTTAAATATTCTCTTACTGGATTACAGTATTTCTTACTGGTGCACTACTGTTTACTTTGAGGCAGGTCCATGTGCTATTACGGAATGTATAAGTGCTGGATGAACGCAAAACAGCTAATGTAAAGGTCATATTATAACGAAGAATGTTCAAGAAAAATGTGTTATGAGTATGACGTACATTTCAGACCTTGAATACATACCCAACACATCATCAGAGTTTACGACATATTCGCAACGTATGTTATTCTCTTCGTCGACAAGATATCCATTGTCTAAACGCACTAAATCATTACCGATTTCATCGTTTTCCATGGTGTACGAGAAGTATTCACTGCAGTTATAAGGTTACTTCTTTTATGTCACAGCAACAATAATATAGCACAAATAGACTGCACTTAATAGATTTTACTATTTGTTTACTAAACCAATGCACAAACCACTTATTTCTTATTAAAAACCACCAATTTCAGAATGTTTACAACAGCACACAGCACAAGATGAAAAACTCAATAAGATGACATAGACAACTGACAAACATAGAGTACCTAACCAAATTTTTGACGTAAGAAATCAATCATCAAAGCAATCGACTATACCGTGATATCCACGTGTAGTCGCACTTCGTATGAATATTTTCTAATATACATTTCTTCCTTACATGCTGCTATATAAATTGGTATCAATATATCGTTGTAAATATAACCAAACTAACACAATTGCCGAAGAAGAGGAAGTCATTTTACATAAAACATTCTAATCGACTACTCATGAAAGTCTTAGTAACAAAGTCTGAATGCGTACCCCATTATGGACAACCCTATAAATTCTCCGTTCCGCGATGTAGGTTGCTGGAAGATAATTTTTCAATAGGCACAATAAATACAGTTCACCTTTACCATACCCAAGCCGACAATATCTAAAAACAGTGGGTAGGGCCATTGTACAACAGGGCACGCGACCACTAAAGTTATAAGTGAAATAGGTTATTTCAGTTTGGGCCCAGTGAACAACAAACGCTTATCAAGCAAAAATATCATTATAATTTGCAAAATAATCAATCAGGATGGGTGTACCTAAGTTCTTCAGGTACACAAGTGAAAGGTACCCCTGCCTCAATGAGCTGGTGAAGCAGTATCAGGTAAGAACTGTTGATATTCAAATTTATTATTTGGTACATACCTACCCTTGAAAGAAAAAAAATGTTTCATAATAAACTGAAATTATTTAAAAATCTTATTATAATCTTGTTGGATTTACCGTTCCAATTTGAACTACGTTCTAACTGAACATATGTTTCAGTAATATGACTTTGTAAAAGTATCTTGTATTTATGTACATTTGTCTGAATTAACTGTTTGGTTCCATGACTGAAATGTATCTTTTCCTCTTTCAAATGATATTAATAACATTATTTCTTACATCATGTGTGACAACATCCTCCTGTTAGAATCTGTCATGGACCTTATATCTCACACCAACAAGAAAAATTTGGAAAATATTTGTTTCTAAAAGTAATTGCACAACTCTTGTCATACAATGACTACATATACTTCATACAAATCATACTGTTCACATTAGACTTGCTTGCATAATTTAAAATAAAAGAAATGTGAGCGACATGTGGGTACCTACTTTAAAAAAAGACTTGCCCTCAATGCTTTTCAAATTTAATATTCATGTTTCGCTTCTCACTATAGTTTTTCATGTCATCAAATAATCAAATTGTAGATATAAATGAGTTAGTCAGAAAAGTCTACTAAAACTACCGATAAGTTATAGTTAGTTAAATCTAAAAGTAGGTACAATATCTACCCTACATTTCATTTGAGAATTTACCATGTATGTTATTTCTTTTCACAAATAATTCCTATGATATAAACCTACAGCTATATTTATTAAATGATAATTTCTGAATGATGTCTAAGTATGCAAACTCGACAGTAGTCAAGAAAAGATGTTAAAAAATAGAGTGGTACCATTCCATGTCAGTGAGTATATTTGGAGAAGAAAAGAGAATCAAAAGATTTTTATCCCCATAACCCCATAACAACACAAAATGTAATCTAAATACTGGGATCCTTTCCAAGTTCTGGTTAGATAATATTAGTTATTATAGCACTAAAATTGATTATATAAAATTAAAATTTCTTTCTTCATTTCAGATACCAGATTTTGACAACATGTATTTGGACATGAATGGAATTATTCACAACTGTTCCCACCCTGACGACTCAAATCCACATTTCCGTATAACAGAAAAGAAGATATTTGAAGATATTTTTCATTACTTAAGCATACTGTTTCAAATTATTAAGCCTAAGAAATTGTTCTTTATGGCTATTGACGGCGTTGCTCCTAGAGCAAAGATGAACCAACAGAGGGGCAGAAGGTATGTCAAACTATTTGATAATCCAAATTAACAAATCATATATATATTCTTGTCTCTTTGTTTGAATATGATAAACTCAAAAACAGCTGGATTGATAATGATTGTTTCCCCACTAGGTAGTATAGTTACCTAAGTAGGTTTAGGTTTATATCACAGTTGTGACACTGAAAGATTGCAGTGAAATAGCTTATTAAAATTAAGTATTATAATGTTGATCTTTTCTGAACAAAGGATTGATCATCAATTCAATCCCTGTTTCTTAAAAAAAAAATATAAGTCTTGCTAAGTGGAAATAATCTTATCAGCGGCTATATCAAGTACTGTCCAATAGTTTTCTTCTAATAATTAATACTAACACTTGAATAAGTAAGTGTTCACACTAACTATATCAGCCATAATACTTGAAAAGATATAATTATATTCATTAAAGCTCTTGTGTCACTGATTAACCGATAGTTGATGCACAGCTGGGCGTATAAAACTCAAATTTGCCGGTCCCTATTGTACGACCTTGCCAAAATTACGAGAAGTATGCAAAAAAGTTATACAATACATGTGTCAAGTTAATCACTTATTTTGTATTGTATAGTTTAAGATTAATCTACAATTGCTATTTATATTCTCATTAAGTTAGGATCCCTTAGATAACAAATATTTAGGACTCTGAAAAAATTTATGATATTAATAAACATGATTTTCTTCAATTCATGTAAATTAACTGCTACTGTTTTTGTGAGTGGAAAATTATCAAATGACTTCTCCTGCCCAGGGTCGGGCAAAAGAAGTCATTTGTCCCCATTCCTTCTCCTTTTTTAGCCAAGGCCACGATGCCTTATTGCACTTACCCCACAACCCCTGCTGAAATTAACTGTTGCTTAATATTCTCCCTAAGTGTTTCATTTTGTATTTCCCTCCTTTATTTGTAGTAAGACATAACAACAGATTATTATTCAATATTATAGGTTTAGATCGGCAAGAGAGGCAGAGAAGTTAGAAGAAGAAGCTAGAAACAAAGGTATTTTATGAAAAATATGTATATATTTAATTAAATTGAACAATTAATTTTTATATTTATAATAAAGCTGTCACTCTAGCTATTTATGTCACTGTAATTGTGCAGAAAAATGCTTATTTATTAGATAGTAGTACATATTAGACTATTATATTAAAAATATATACTTAGAGTATTTTTAAAGCCCAAATCAATATGCTACTTCAATTTTATTGTTATTTTTGAAATGGCTTAATCATTAAAACAATCCTGCTTTGCTTGCTCATTTATTTGCTGCTGTCAGCATTGCAAAAAGCGAATACATATTTAACTAAGCAAATAATTATTTAAAAAATAATATAAAGATATAAGTTTCTATCCTTATTTTAAGATGTAAACAAATTCACCTGTGTTTTGTGAAGTAAATTATTGTATATGCTTAAGGACAAAACTTAGATAAGAGTTTACATTGAAAAGTAGAATGTCTCTACGTCGCACAGTATAAGACATATTCAAAATCAATAAATCACTATAATTAAAATCAATACGTCTTTTAAAATAACTAACTCAAATATGACATAATATTTTTACTTCGATACGGAGTCATATTTACTCATGTGAGCTATTCGGGAAATACTCGACTAGTTTCTAGTTGTACCGGGACTCATATTCCGAAGCAGCGTGTGTGGCATGGTCAACTGACCAGAAGTCGTACATTTAAATAAATTATTTATGCATCACGATATTTTTTTTTTACTTAATTGATATTTATTTTTGTATAAAGGCGAAACACTGCCAACGGAGAAACGCTTCGACAGCAACTGCATTACGCCGGGAACCGTGTTCATGGCCCGCCTGCACGAACAGCTCAAGTACTTTATTAAGTCCAAAATATCCACCGACCCTTTGTGGGCCAAAGTTAAGGTCATACTCTCTGGACATGAGGTAAGAAAATAAAATACAAAATTAGTTAAGTGCGATGATATTATGAGTAAAAAGGTGTAGATAGGTCATAAGCGCTCAGCAAGTGATACATTAAAATGTGGCTAACTAGCCTCACTTTTTCATATTTGTCTCTTTTTCACTCGCGATTATTGAATCATGCCATCCCACTTTGACGTCTAATCATACGAATTGTTCATGTGTGCATCGGTGTGCCGTTTTTTAAAAACCGAATATTGTTTAATATGTAACCTTTCTACACCATTTTACTTATAATAAGTAGGTATCATTGATTAGTAACCGTAAAACGGGGTAAAAAGATACACAAGAGGAGTAAATAGATACTGGCGAATTTTACTCTATATCTTCTAAACATTTTTTTTACATTCTGTGAACTTTTTCTTAAACAAACAGTTAACGACTTCGGTTGATATTTAATTTTTGTTTTATAGAACACACATCCACTTGGCTTCTATTTGGTTGTATTTTTGGCCAATTCGAAGCAGTTTCAATACAGTAAAATATTGAAAAATACCTATACTTTTATTCATCGATCAATCGATAAACTAAGTTTAAGATATTTTTAAGCTAATTATTAAAAAATAAGTAACTCAGTTTTTCATAGAAAAGTACTGTTTTTGACATTTGGATAAAAGTATTGAATTTGACTAGTTGGAAACTACCGTATTCTCTATTATTCTTCATCTACCTTCAAAAACCGTATATTGGTTTTTTACTAAATTTTAACTAGCACGAACTATATTTTAATCGAAACAAGTCTTTATGTATGTATATTTAAGATTTGTAATTGAATGTTTCAAACAGACGCCCGGAGAAGGTGAGCATAAGATCATGGACTACATTAGATGGTCGCGCTCACAACCTGACTATGATCCTAACACGAGACACTGTCTCTATGGATTGGATGCTGATCTCATCATGTTGGGGATGTGCACACATGAACCCCACTTCGCACTGCTCAGAGAAGAGGTAAGATTTGCTTTGTTTAATTAATTTATGTAAAAGTATACATAAACATTAACATTTTTACCGCCACGATCAAGATTTAGTTAGCTAGGTTTTCTTATCGACTTAGACCCCAACAGTGCGGATTAGGCCATATTTTGTCTTGTAATACATCTATGGCAAATGGTGGTGGTCAAAAAGACATTAATTTTAAAATCTCTTTTTGTCCCGCAGGTGAAATTTGGTAAAAGTACAAATCGTGCGACAAGCCCAGAAGAGACTAATTTCTACCTCCTACATTTATCTTTATTAAGAGAATATTTAGAACAAGAGTTTATATCTATTAAGGACAAGTTGCCCTTCGAATATGACTTGGAGAAGATTGTCGATGACTGGGTGCTTATGGGATTCTTAGTGGGCAATGATTTTATACCCAATTTGCCCAATATGCATATAAGTAATGATGCCCTGCCCGTCCTCTATAATACTTACATGACTGTGCTGCCTACTTTAGATGGTGAGTAATCCTATTTTTCCGTGTACATTTAACCTACTTGAATTTACCCTTTTTCAACTTTGAAATCTACATCAGAATGAGTTGTAGGATTCTAAAATGTTAACTTAGTGGTAGAATATTAAGCATGAGTGACACATGAGCGAAACGACGTATGTGTGTGAGAGAGAGGAAGGATGGAAGGGGAAAAGCAAAATGGGTGTAATTTAAAATTCACGATCGGAACGTTACCGCATTCAGCCCTATGATTGGTTAGTTTATTCGCAGTAAGCCAATCAAAGCATTGAATGTCATCGCGTCGCATTACCTTGAAGCAAACTGGCATTGCATCCTTTGATTGGCCTGCTTCAAGTTAATCAACTAATCAGAGATCTAATCTATTTTCTAAGTGGATATGTATTATAATAAAATATTTTACGTATACAATTGCATGTTGGAGGACTTTATGCCAAAGACTTGCCAGTTATACTTGAGGTAGTAATTTTGGATTCGATTTTTATGCAATGTTTGATGTTTGGCACGTTACTAACTAAATTATTGAACATAATGACTTACGTTAACTGACGAGAAATACTCTACTAGTTTCAAGTCACAACGGGACTCTTGTTAATGTGGCAAAGACGTGCAGGTGACTGTGAACTACACTACATTACGTAACGTAATTTAAATTATATTTTCTGTCATTTTTGTATATGTTTATGTCTCTTGCAGGTTATATAAATGAGTCTGGAGATCTGAATTTGAAGAGGTTCGAGGTATTTATGCAGGAACTTGCCAAGATTGACATGGAGAAGTTCCAGGACACATATGCTGACCTCAAATATTTTGAAGCTAAGACTGGCAGGAGGCCTAATGCTAATGAAAGAAAAGATGTAAGTTCTTCTTCGTTCGAACCTTATTTTTATTATTATTTTTAAACTTTCGGCCTTATTAAAAAGAAGATTTATCTTTAGTCTAGGTTTAAATTATTGAGCAGGTTTTGTATTTTGAATCTTATTCTCACCTACCTTCAATTTGAAATACAAAAATTGGCGCAATGGTTTAGACCATAGATTCCCAAAGTGGTCCAGGTGGACCCCCAGGGGTCCACGGGAGCCCGACAGGGGTCTACGCTTGCGTGGAAAAAGAATGGGGGTCCACAACTTGTTAACGGGGGTCTACAAAAATGTATTAGGTGACCCGACTTGACATCTCCTATGTATATAGGAAGACAAAATTATAAGAAGCTCAGCAATTGTTTTTGTAAGAACCTGCATATTCCATATTCAGAAAGAGCGTGTCAAGACTCGCCGATTCCGCGCCGCCCGCTCGCCTAGTTAAAGTCGTATCTGAACTAGCATGAACTTGTTGGATTTTTTCCTAATATGAATGGGAATGCGAATGATAAACATCACTCAGCTGTTTCCGGAAAACCAAAAAAGTTTTTTTTCGAAAAGTTGATTGAAAAATAGTCACAACACAGATTTACATAGACATATACTTTTTTCGGGTTTTGGAAGTAAGTTAGTAAATGTAATAGTTGCAGGGGGTCCACCAGATCCAGCAAAATGTTTAAAGTGGTCTATGAGAAAAAAAAGGTTGGGAAGCTCTGGTTTAGACCTAGACTTAAAAACCTTGTTTTGTAATAAAGCTGAATATGTTTGGTCTATATAAAAAGATAAAATATTTTTAAGGGACTAGAATTCTGTCTTGTTTTGTTACACAAGCCTATTTTGAGCTCCAAATTGGGCAATTTGGCAAAAAAATAAAACCATTTATTTAGATAATCTATTAAATACTTTTATGATATTTTCAACTCGATTGTTATGTAATAAAGTTCAAAATCCAATAAAGATGTTTTATTACTTACTAATGTATAGTGTATATTCTTATTTTACAGTACAAGCCAAATAATGACGAGACGTTCAACGTGAACGTTGAGGATATCAAAGCGAATAAACCTGATGACGAGCTCCAAGCACTGATCAATGCGACAGAGGACATGGTATATATTTTTTTATAATAAAATGAATAGAAACAGTTGAGTTACCATTTATTTCATGTGATAGGATGGCAAACGATCAGATAAATTACCTGGTGGTAAGCAATTAGCGCTGCCCATGGATGTAATAACGGAGAAGTAACGATTGCGTTGCCGACCTTTAGGCATCAGGGTTTTGGAGACTTAGGGATTGGGGAGGGGAAGGACCGGGCCTCCGGTAACCGTGATGATAAGTATTCATCTATGTCCATAGTAATGTGGTTAAACCCTTCGCTTCTGCTGCTCGAAGCTGCTAATCGGAAACCTTGGAAGTACTAATTTTCTGATGGGCTTATGATGCGATGCGCGTAACACCAGACGAGTGAAAAGTGCGTTGCCACCATTTTAGACAAACAAACATATTTTCTCATATTAATAAGGATTACTTAATTTTTATATTGAAAACTATTTTTCAGTTTATGGACGATATGGAAATTGAGAATGAAGATGAATATGAAGAAACTAGTGACGGTAAGATTTTATTTAAGAAAACCAACGTGATTACGCTTACTTCTTTAAAAATTTCGTAAATGTTTCACTCATTTCAAGAATCGAGACTCTCATTGGTCGTAGGGTGATGTTTTATAGCCTACAGCACTCAGGAACATTATAGATATCTATCAGTGGAAGGATTTTGGAAATCCGGACAACATTTCCAAAGATTACCCCTATAATGTGTACAAACTCACAAATTTTACCTCTTTATAATATTCGTATAGACTAGCAGCCCGCACCTGCTGCGTAAAGATCATAATCATAATCATAATTCTTTATTGCATCCACGATATCCAAGTGGCCAATGACTATATATATAAGAGCCACTGTTTCCTAATACCCACTACTTTTTTTTAATTTTCATATAAATCTTTTTCTGACAATTGCAAACACAATACAAAAGAGTTGTCAAAATTGCACTTACTAACATATTCTGCGATGCATTTTTATAAATACAGATAAATTCTTAACATGATTATACAATAAAAGTGGGTTAAAAATTGGTAGCTGTATGTGATGTCAATCTGGACTTTTTTGCCATTATAGTACACATTTGCATTTTGTAGCATCAATTAATAAAATCAAATTTATGTTTAAGACACTTGTTAGATAAACAATATTTTAATAAATGATTATTTCTCTTTTTACAGAGGAAGCGAATATGGCAATGGAATTTATACTACATAAGAAGGATTATTATATGAACAAATTAGACTATTCAAAAGTCACAGAGTAAGTTGGTAAATTTTCTATTGAAATTAGACGATTTAAGTCAAATTAACGTTTATTTTTAAGATCTATTTTATATTTTGTACAATAATTTACTTAGAATATCACATAATACCTAGACCAAATTAAGATTATAACAATATATTTTTGTTATACTTTGTAAGCCTAATGAATATATACATTACATATTATATATATCTTTATCACCAACCCTTAAGTGTCTACTGCTGAGCTAAGGCCTCTTCTCCTATAGAGAAGGTTTGAGCGATAATCACCACGTTTACTCGAGGCGGATTGGCGATTTTAACTCTATAATTTAGGTTATAATTACGTCCAGCTTCCTAACAATGTCTGTGAGCTAACAACTCGGAAAAAAATATAACTTATCGCTCTTAAATACACATATTAAAACTAGTTTTTTTTATTTCAGTGAAGTGTTAGCTGACCAAGCGGAAGGCTATGTACGGGCCATACAATGGAACCTGTACTATTATTACAAGGGATGCCCGTCTTGGTGTTGGTACTACCCACACCATTACGCACCCTATATATCAGATATTAAAGGGTTCGCAGATTTAAAAATTGAGTTCGAACTCGGAGAACCCTTCAAACCTTTTGAGCAGGTATGTTTAGATAAATGTGAGAACAAAGTGCTTGGTTTAATGTATTTCATTTGCGTTTGATAGATGGCGGTAGTGTCGCTTTTGATCCATGAACTAGAAATATTATTCAGTAATACGCAGTACCTTTCATTATAGGTTACAAAAACACCCTTTGAAGTAGTCTAAACGTTCTTGCCATTCTTTTTTCTTCTGAATGGGCAATAGAATCCTCTTATCTTTCCGTGCTTAACTTCATAGGCAAACAGCAATTAGTTAGGAAACTATAACTATGACATAAGGGAGAGGGCCTGCCTTATGTCCTTCTCTTATAAAGAGTAGACCCTCTTTCAAAAGAAAGACGATAATAATGTTCAAATTCTTTGCAGCTCCTAGCAGTGTTACCGGCAGCAAGTAAGCAACTGTTACCAGCTCCGTTCCACGCTCTAATGACGGACGAGGACTCCCCCATAGTACACTATTACCCCATCAACTTTGAAACCGATCTCAACGGGAAGAGAAACGACTGGGAAGCGGTCGTACTCATACCGTTTATAGATGAGGTAAGCAAAAGTAACTCTTAGGTAAAATAATATTCAGCAAGGGGTTCAGCTGGGGTTGCCGGGTAAGCGCAATGAAGCACCGCGGCCTCGGCCCAGCGGGAGAAGTCATTTGATTTAGCATACAAAAAAAACCTGGCTTGTTCTGGAACAAGAAAAAAAGCAGGGTGATTTTTAGTCAGTAAGAGTCTGACACTCTTTCTCGCCCCACTCAAGGCAGGAGGTTGTAGCGTGATTTTCTTTAGCTTTATCATGTAGTACAAGATCTGTTCAATTTGAACCAGTAGTTTCGGAGATTAAAGCATTCAAATAAACTCTTTACGTGTTATAGACCAATCTTCTGTCAGCGATGGAGCCCTGTTATCAGAGATTGACGGAAGAAGAAAAGAGTCGGAATACACATGGGCCTATGTTAGTTTACAACTGGACTGCTCAAAACCAAGGTATGTTCAACACAAAGTTATCATCACCAGCCTGTAAGTGCCCACCACTACGCAAATTTAATGTTTCTTCTCACACGGAGAAGATTTGAGGCTGAAGCGCAATAATGTACCGCGGCTCCGGCCTATGGCAGGATAAGAAACGGGATGGTTTCCAATCAGTAATGGTCTGGCCCTTCCCCTCCTCCCACCAGGGCAAGACAATTTCAAACTTATAAATAAAAGTAAAATTTTCAAGAGTAAATAAGCTTATCTTACATGTAAGTAGGAAAAGTTCTCATTGGTACTTGCCAGATCTCGAAAAAGGGGGGCCTTAAACTCTAGGCCACCATAACGAATAATAATATTGTACCACGGCCCCGGCCAGTAGCAGGAGAAGAAATGGGGTGGTTTTAGTCACGAAGATTCTGACACTCCCTCTTTTGCCCCATCCAGGGCGGGAGTAGTAATAAGGTGCTTCGTTATAATATTGTTTCTTTTTGAGCACAGGTGTTCTAATAGCGCCTCTGCATTTCGACCCGATCGCGGAATGCCACGCTACAGAAACTAAAGTTTGGAGACAAGAGCTTGAAGTTCCCGGCAGCATGTTGAAGAGGGGCATGCTACCCAATGCTAAGAGGGATATGCTGTTCCCTGGCTTCCCTACAATGAGGCATCTTAAATATAAGGTGAGAGAAAATCGACAGTTTCGTAATGTTGAAATGTGTATTTTGTCCCTAGATATTAACACGTTGAAGGCCAGACGGGACAATATATGGACCACGCTACCCATGGATTTCTCCTGAAACCTTAACTGTCGAAGTTTAATGTCTTAATAATATTGTAGCAATAAAATAATTATCTTAGTCGTGGAGGATAGAAAATTAATTAAAATATACGGCTTACATTGCGATGCGAGACTTCGGTCATTGCGAACTTCGAACGAGATTCGATTGAGTAGGGACTCATAAAATTGTTCGCATAAGTTACGCAGGGTTGTAGCTTGGAATTAATCGAGCTTCCTCGTATAGTTTCAGTTTAAACTGAACATTTGAATTTTGCGCCATAATTTGATTCATTCATGGAAATAATAGCTGCTTGATAAATCCTTAGGTTCGTGAAAAACTGGTTTTTGACTTTGGTGTTTATTTTACAGACAAGTATCAAAAAGGGTAAAGTAAAAGTTTTCGATCAACCGTCTCGGAATGAAAATATGATAGTAGAGTTAATAAGAGAGTCTGAGAAAGAAGATCCTATCACAGAAGTTGCGAAGAAAATGCTAGGAAAAGTTATATGGGCCGGATGGCCACATCTCACCAGAGCTAAGTAAGTATTATGAATAACTCTATATATTTTAATTTGTGTCCTTTGGTGTAGGAAGTAAAGTCTAATTTTGCGTAGTCGTGTTATTGACTGTGCAGTTTAGCATTTGTATTACTCGCAAGTTCAGGACTGCAAGCAAATTCTAAGTAACGTATGTTCTTCTAAAAAAGCCCTTATCGACATTACTATCAACATTGTTCCATCTGGTAGGTGGGTGATTCTCCAAAAAACCTTAACTTTTATTTAACAAGTCATTATCCTCCCAGGTTTTTAAGCATCTTAGTAATTTATTTTATACAATATTTTTAATCGGTTGCTTGTAAGCAGTGGTGAGATTTAATTTAATAAAATAATTATCTGTGTTTTAATCAGCAGACTCGTTAATTTTCGGTTGAGGATAACGACATTATTAAATTTTTTTTAATTGATGTGAAGAATCACCCAGGTATGTTTGATTATAAATGTACATATTTACCGTGGTTTTTATTATTCATATTAATCCAATGTAGTAAAAAATCTATTTATTTCGATCTTATCCATACAGTGGATGGCAGATCAATCTGTTCCAATTTCGTCTTTATATCAAAACAATAGAGTTGGTATTCTAAAAAAAATTTTACAAAATAAAAAAACCGCCTTCAAAAAAAGTCAAGCAATAAAAGTTTCTACACTAAAAAGTAAAAAATAACAATTTTAATTAGTGTAAAAAAACTTAATATATAGGTAAACTTATTTGACATTAATATTTTGCAAATATTCAAAATTTATTACTTATTTTTGGAGTCGGTGCCAGCATTTTAATGTTGAAACTTAATGTTAGTTTGCTTTTTAATATCCGGTGCCATTTTTCGTACATAATGCTTAAACATTTTCAATGTACTTAAAATGTTTTTGAAAGTATATATTTTTTATTTAAAAAAAATGTCTAATCTGTATTTATGTCTTAATTAATATACCTATATTTGAGTATGCAAATAGGTATTAAGTAGTTTTATAATTAAGTAAGAGGTAGTTTTTCAAGGGATTGTTGCCCATTTGTATTTCCTTGCATGGGCTGGCACCGACTCCAAAATTAAGTAATAAATTTTGAATATTTGCAAAATATTAATGTCAAATAAGTTTACCTATATATTAAGTTTTTTTACACTAATTAAAATTGTTATTTTTTACTTTTTAGTGTAGAAACTTTTATTGCTTGACTTTTTTTGAAGGCGGTTTTTTTATTTTGTAAAATTTTTTTTTATTTGTAGCCGTTTAGTGTTTTTTTTTTATTATAATGTGTTATGGCAAAGAAGTCAATATCGTTCCTACATTTCTTTTGAAAAAGTTACCAATGTCATACTTATACGTAGAAATACATATCATAGTACATTGTTACTGTGCACAGAACAGAAAATTAAGTAGAAGTGCCCCTACACTCTTTCAAAAGGAAAACCAGTGTCGCCAAAATCACACATTCGCAAATCAAATTGTCCATTACACACATAAAAAACAGCTATATAATTGGGTAAAAACATGAAACGCAACTTTAGCAAATCATCTTCTAAATGTTGTTAAAAATTGAGTCTTATGACAATGAGCGAAAGTTGTTATCATTTCACATGTCACAATCAATAAAGGCGTCTATCGTGTAAAAAACTGAAATAAAACAATTTACAAACGGGTTCAGCCACTCAACGCTAGATGGCGCTGTAACAAATTCATTCTATTCAAAACGCTAACTTCTTTGAAATAGATGTCATATTTGTATGCACTTGTACCAATAGACATTTACTATTTTGCTACTCAGATAGGGCAGGGTATCCCAATATATCGATGTTTTTGTATTCGTGTGAGCAATATAATTTATCGACACGATATACCTACAAATGATCAGTAATGAAAAAGGTTCTAATAAAAAAAAAGAAAAATATTAACATATTTTTTGAAGATTTAATGTTTTTTGGAGATGGTCAAGTTATTATTAAAGATTTCGATTTTAACATATAAAAGCACTACGCGCTCCTACCAGTTTTATCTCCTTTCCTAAAATAGAATCATTAAAATCGGTTCATAAATAACGGAGACGAAAAAAACAAAAAAAAAATGTTACAGTCGAATTGAGAGTCACTCTCGTTTTTGGAACTCTGATAAAAATCATGTACAAAATTTATACTTATAATAAATCTGTAGAGGGGTCAATTCTGTACATTAAATATATTTTCAAAATAACTACCAGGGGGTGATTAGTGATCGATACTGATGCCAAAAATGCAATCAGTAAAAATTTTGTCGGTCTGTCTGTCTGTCTGTCTGTCTGTCTGTCTGTCTGTCTGTCTGTCTGTCTGTCTGTCTGAATGTTCTTTATAGAAACAAAAATTACTCGACGGATTTTAACAAAACTTGGTACAATTATTCTTTATACTCCTGGGCAGGTTATAGGATACTTTTCATCACGCTACAAATAATAGGAGCAGAGCAGTGAAGGAAAATGTTGGGAAAACGGGAGAAGTTACTCCCTTTTGTAAGTTTCAGTCGCGTGTGTAACCTTAATGGTTAAACTTACATAGAAATTATGTATGACGGAAATATTTTAAATAAAATTGTCTAAAAAAATGTTTTACAGCATATGTCTATCTTTTATGGTTAACTCACAATAGCACGTGTAACTCCTGATAGCTTAGCAATTCGGATAATAAGACATAGCGCCGTCGCAAGTGACACTGAATCATGGTATAAGAATTATTTTTGTGTAGCGGTTGCCGTGCTCGACACGATGCGGTATAAAATATAATATAATATAGGTTTTATCAAATATTTATAACTCTTACCTATTAGTTAGATCCGTACCTTTCTATCTATTGACGGACGGACTGCGGAGACTTAGTAAGTAATAGGGTATTTACCCATCGGAGATGTGTAAAATGAGACGATAAATGCCAAATTTTATGTATACTTAGATTTTGTTCTCTTGCTATTGCTGCCGCTGGCGAAAACTAGTTATAAAATAAAAATGGTGATTAACCACCCGCACCTACCACAGACGGATGCACGCTGTGTGTGGTTAAAACGTTGATGTGTCTATGCAATCTTAGTTAAACATTTATGAATTATACACAAACATTGACAAAAATCAATTTTCTGAACGATGATGATGAAAAATTATCGATATGAACCTATTTTACGAATATGTCGCATCCCTAAATGAGTAGCGTCGAAACTACTAGAATGTATTGTATATAACGTCACATAACGAACAAGTAGATTTAAACTTAATTGTAATGAAAATAAGGCCCTTTATAGTTTGCATTGAAGTAATGAAATGTGATATTTACATTAAAATCTAATATATTTAAAATTAACAAAGGTTAATACTCAAAGATGATACGATACACCACCACAAGACTCATCTTTTTTTCTGCTTACTTTTTTGCAGTTAAAAACCGCACAACAAGGCATAATTTCTAATATATTTCGTGTTTCTTAGAGACAACCATGACAACCAATCATGACAACGGATCGAACGATTCTGACAACAAATGTGCCAAAATGTTGTATATCTAGTCATCATGTTGGTTAGCGCGCGATGTCTGAGGGGCACTTCCACTGTATTTTCTATTCCGTGTTACTGTGTAATCGTTTTGATCTCGAGGAGAGATGATATGATGCATGAGATACTTATGACTTATAGTTAAAATAAAATAATAATCTTATCATAAATTCATATTAGTTCTCGCCAAATAACAAAAAACTAGATATTTTCATCAACAGACAGATAAAGTTCAAAGATACCAAATGCAATCTAATTTAGTATCTATGATTAAATACATTCGTACATAGAAAAAAGACCGATGCAATTATTGTTTTGTATCAATTGTAACCCATTAAATGAAGAATACTATTTTGTTATTACTAAGAACATTCATATATAGACAAGTTGGTAAAAATACAAAAGACCATCGCTATTGTAAATATACATTTATGACTCATTCAATGTATGAACCTTTTTTAAGTAAGTATTATCTACATATGTGCACACAAAAGAAACACAATTATTGTTTTGTACGACGCAATTATTGTTTTGTAACCCATTTAAAACTACTGTTTTGTTAAAAATGCCAATGAATTCTCTTAGCCTATTACCAGGAAAACGATAAGAACACAATGACGCATTTCACCACTAATGTGTAAACGCAGTCCACGTGGACTAATGCAAAATAGCCAATACTAGGCCAAACTCCGCCCCCAAAGGTGTGCGGTCCCGCTCTAGAACCTTTCGGCCCCATCGGCCATCTGTTCTACGAGCAATGTGCCGTGCCCACTGTCACTTAAGTTTGGCATTTCTTCGGGCTATGTCGGTGACGCTGGTTCTTCTGCGGATTTCTTCATTTCTGATTCGAACATGCACGGAAACTATGAGCATAGCCCTTTCCATTGCTCTTGACAGCTCTAATAAGCTTACACAATACTAGGCCCCATGCCAACCTTCCAGCTTCATCATCACATCAGTTCAATAGTACCTTACAGCCAAAGTGCATCTTATAACAATTCTAACAAGCCCAAACACGGCTAGGATATATCACATATATACAGTTCCAGTGCCTACCTTCCAGCTCCATAATCATCATTAAATCAGTTCGATGATAACATTTCCAACATAATTATTTAAGATCATTGGTTTACAGTGCATTTTCATAGTTTCTGAACTACCTTGATTGTGATATCTATGCGAGTGTCAAGTTTCATCACCCATTTCTGATCTTCTTCACCAGTTCCACCTCATCAAATATTACTTTTTGACTGTAAATGCTATGAAAATATTAAAATTACTATATAGTTGCCTATAATATTTGAGGAGTTCCCTCGATTTCTCATGGATCCCATCATTAAAACTCGATTTTGAAAAGAATGGGACCAATCTGGAAGCATATCCTTTCAATCATAAAAAAAATTTTGCAAATCCGTCCATAAACGACGGAGTTCTGAGGTAACAAACATAAAAAAAAAAAAAAAAAAAAAAAAAATACAGTCGAATTGAGAACCTCCTCCTTTTTTTGAAGTCGGTTAAAAAACAGCAACTCCTTGTAAACACTACTATAACTTTGTGCAGAGTAATATCAGTGTCGAATGAGAAGATGAGACTACACCACGTCGACCAACAGAATAACAACGTGGACGGCACGCCCAACTACTCGACGGAGCCCAACAATGGGAATCTACATAAGCAGTGGATCAGTGAGCGATCGACCATCATTGAACAGTAAGTACAGAAAAATCCTAGAACGAAAAAATATTTGGCACCGAATACTACTCTAAATAATGTAAAAGTTTGTGAGAATGTATCGATGTATGTTTGTTTTTCTGTCACGCAAAAACGGCTGGACCTATTTTGTATGTAGATAGATAAGTGGTAATCTGAAATAACACATAGGCCACTTTTTATAAACATACCACGCGAGCTAAGCCACGGTTAGAGGCTAGTTATACATTCACATTTATAATTATATCAGAAGGATAGTAGGATAGAAAATGATTAGATTAAAAAAAACATTCCTAATAAATATTATTATTTTCTTATAGCAATATGAATCGGCTCGGCATTGAATTGGGCGACGTGACCACCATCATACACGCAGTCAATTTGAAAGGTGAGTTTGTAAATAGTTTTGAGTGGTATTCTACAAGCATTAACCTAAACTAAACCCTTTTCAAGGAGCAGGAGAAGAAACGAGGAGATTTTAGCCAGTAAGAGTTGAGCCACTTTCTCTCGGACCACCCACTCGGACTTTCCGACTCGGAAAGTCATCATATGACACTTGACTCGGAAACTCCTATAATAAAGTTACTATATTGAAGCGCCGAATTTATTTATTTTTGACCTAAGAAACTACCCAATTAATAACGTTTCCAGGTTTCAAATACATGATCCAAGACAACGTGAATATGGTTCAGGAGCCGGAGTGGTGCAGCGTCCCATGCGGGTACGCCTTGCAGGCCGTCGTTACTGACGTACGCGCGCATATAATTCAGGAAGGAGGCCGCTTTAGTACGCCTCAGGAGGCCTATCCTACCGGGGACTCTGTTTTCCTCCTCACACAGGGACAACACTATGGAGCTCATGCTACTGTATGTATTCTTGTTGTAATCTTTACTGAATTTTATTATTACATTATTTAGTTGTTATTTTTATGTTGCAATTATTTTTCCTTTAAAAAATAGCGCAAAAAAGAGTATTATAATATTGTGTACCATATTATTATTGCTTACAACATACATGTTTTTCTTTTTGATTTTACTAATAACAAATTCTAATTCTAAAATGCAATAATTGCGCAATGCTGCGCAAACTTTTGCGACGTTTGCGCAAACATTTGCGCCGTTTGCGCAAACTTTTGCTTTTATTTTACTCTCTTTATAATGAGTTTGTCAAATTTGTAAGGTCATAAAGGCCATATAATAAATGTCTTGTTAGGTATTTGACGTATTTTGTCCATAACTAATTCAATATCATTCTACATAAGACCCAACACCTGATAATTTACGCTACAGCATATAGTGAGTATGAAGGTAAGATGTACGTTGTTCCCCGCAGGTGGTGGACTCGGAGTGTATCCGCAGCGGGCGCATCAAGGTGGCCGTGCGGGAGCGGCCGCAGCCTGCGCCGCGACCACACCCCGCCGCCGCACCATACCGCGCCGCCAACCATGCCGCCGCCGCGTGCGGTAATACATGCTGGCTACTACACTAGTACTGACCGCACCATACCGCGCCGCCAACCATGCCGCCGCCGCGTGCGGTAATACATGCTGGCTACTACACTAGTACTGACCGCACCATACCGCGCCGCCAACCATGCCGCCGCCGCGTGCGGTAATACATGCTGGCTACTACACTAGTACTGACCGCACCATACCGCGCCGCCAACCATGCCGCCGCCGCGTGCGGTAATACATGCTGGCTACTACACTAGTACTGACCGCACCATACCGCGCCGCCAACCATGCCGCCGCCGCGTGCGGTAATACATGCTGGCTACTACACTAGTACTGACCGCACCCTACCGCGCCGCCAACCATGCCGCCGCCGCATGCGGTAATACATGCTGGCTACTACACTAGTACTGACCGCACCATACCGCGCCGCCAACCATGCCGCCGCCGCATGCGGTAATACATGCTGGCTACTACACTAGTACTGACCGCACCATACCGCGCCGCCAACCATGCCGCCGCCGCGTGCGGTAATACATGCTGGCTACTACACTAGTACTGACCGCACCATACCGCGCCGCCAACCATGCCGCCGCCGCGTGCGGTAATACATGCTGGCTACTACACTAGTACTGACCGCACCCTACCGCGCCGCCAACCATGCCGCCGCCGCATGCGGTAATACATGCTGGCTACTACACTAGTACTGACCGCACCATACCGCGCCGCCAACCATGCCGCCGCCGCGTGCGGTAATACATGCTGGCTACTACACTAGTACTGACCGCACCATACCGCGCCGCCAACCATGCCGCCGCCGCGTGCGGTAATACATGCTGGCTACTACACTAGTACTGACCGCACCCTACCGCGCCGCCAACCATGCCGCCGCCGCATGCGGTAATACATGCTGGCTACTACACTAGTACTGACCGCACCATACCGCGCCGCCAACCATGCCGCCGCCGCGTGCGGTAATACATGCTGGCTACTACACTAGTACTGACCGCACCCTACCGCGCCGCCAACCATGCCGCCGCCGCATGCGGTAATACATGCTGGCTACTACACTAGTACTGACCGCACCATACCGCGCCGCCAACCATGCCGCCGCCGCGTGCGGTAATACATGCTGGCTACTACACTAGTACTGACCGCACCCTACCGCGCCGCCAACCATGCCGCCGCCGCATGCGGTAATACATGCTGGCTACTACACTAGTACTGACCGCACCATACCGCGCCGCCAACCATGCCGCCGCCGCATGCGGTAATACATGCTGGCTACTACACTAGTACTGACCGCACCCTACCGCGCCGCCAACCATGCCGCCGCCGCATGCGGTAATACATGCTGGCTACTACACTAGTACTGACCGCACCATACCGCGCCGCCAACCATGCCGCCGCCGCATGCGGTAATACATGCTGGCTACTACACTAGTACTGACCGCACCATACCGCGCCGCCAACCATGCCGCCGCCGCATGCGGTAATACATGCTGGCTACTACACTAGTACTGACCGCACCATACCGCGCCGCCATCCATGCCGCCGCCGCATGCGGTAATACATGCTGGCTACTACACTAGTACTGACCGCACCATACCGCGCCGCCAACCATGCCGCCGCCGCATGCGGTAATACATGCTGGCTACTACACTAGTACTGACCGCACCATACCGCGCCGCCAACCATGCCGCCGCCGCATGCGGTAATACATGCTGGCTACTACACTAGTACTGACCGCACCATACCGCGCCGCCAACCATGCCGCCGCCGCATGCGGTAATACATGCTGGCTACTACACTAGTACTGACCGCACCATACTGCGCCGCCAACCATGCCGCCGCCGCATGCGGTAATACATGCTGGCTACTACACTAGTACTGACCGCACCCTACCGCGCCGCCAACCATGCCGCCGCCGCATGCGGTAATACATGCTGGCTACTACACTAGTACTGACCGCACCATACCGCGCCGCCAACCATGCCGCCGCCGCATGCGGTAATACATGCTGGCTACTACACTAGTACTGACCGCACCATACCGCGCCGCCAACCATGCCGCCGCCGCATGCGGTAATACATGCTGGCTACTACACTAGTACTGACCGCACCATACCGCGCCGCCAACCATGCCGCCGCCGCGTGCGGTAATACATGCTGGCTACTACACTAGTACTGACCGCACCATACCGCGCCGCCAACCATGCCGCCGCCGCGTGCGGTAATACATGCTGGCTACTACACTAGTACTGACCGCACCCTACCGCGCCGCCAACCATGCCGCCGCCGCATGCGGTAATACATGCTGGCTACTACACTAGTACTGACCGCACCATACCGCGCCGCCAACCATGCCGCCGCCGCATGCGGTAATACATGCTGGCTACTACACTAGTACTGACCGCACCATACCGCGCCGCCAACCATGCCGCCGCCGCATGCGGTAATACATGCTGGCTACTACACTAGTACTGACCGCACCATACCGCGCCGCCATCCATGCCGCCGCCGCATGCGGTAATACATGCTGGCTACTACACTAGTACTGACCGCACCATACCGCGCCGCCAACCATGCCGCCGCCGCATGCGGTAATACATGCTGGCTACTACACTAGTACTGACCGCACCATACCGCGCCGCCAACCATGCCGCCGCCGCATGCGGTAATACATGCTGGCTACTACACTAGTACTGACCGCACCATACCGCGCCGCCAACCATGCCGCCGCCGCATGCGGTAATACATGCTGGCTACTACACTAGTACTGACCGCACCATACTGCGCCGCCAACCATGCCGCCGCCGCATGCGGTAATACATGCTGGCTACTACACTAGTACTGACCGCACCCTACCGCGCCGCCAACCATGCCGCCGCCGCATGCGGTAATACATGCTGGCTACTACACTAGTACTGACCGCACCATACCGCGCCGCCAACCATGCCGCCGCCGCATGCGGTAATACATGCTGGCTACTACACTAGTACTGACCGCACCATACCGCGCCGCCAACCATGCCGCCGCCGCATGCGGTAATACATGCTGGCTACTACACTAGTACTGACCGCACCATACCGCGCCGCCAACCATGCCGCCGCCGCATGCGGTAATACATGCTGGCTACTACACTAGTACTGACCGCACCATACCGCGCCGCCAACCATGCCGCCGCCGCATGCGGTAATACATGCTGGCTACTACACTAGTACTGACCGCACCATACCGCGCCGCCAACCATGCCGCCGCCGCATGCGGTAATACATGCTGGCTACTACACTAGTACTGACCGCACCATACCGCGCCGCCAACCATGCCGCCGCCGCATGCGGTAATACATGCTGGCTACTACACTAGTACTGACCGCACCATACCGCGCCGCCAACCATGCCGCCGCCGCATGCGGTAATACATGCTGGCTACTACACTAGTACTGACCGCACCATACCGCGTCGCCAACCATGCCGCCGCCGCATGCGGTAATACATGCTGGCTACTACACTAGTACTGACCGCACCATACCGCGCCGCCAACCATGCCGCCGCCGCATGCGGTAATACATGCTGGCTACTACACTAGTACTGACCGCACCATACCGCGCCGCCAACCATGCCGCCGCCGCATGCGGTAATACATGCTGGCTACTACACTAGTACTGACCGCACCCTACCGCGCCGCCAACCATGCCGCCGCCGCATGCGGTAATACATGCTGGCTACTACACTAGTACTGACCGCACCATACCGCGCCGCCAACCATGCCGCCGCCGCATGCGGTAATACATGCTGGCTACTACACTAGTACTGACCGCACCATACCGCGCCGCCAACCATGCCGCCGCCGCATGCGGTAATACATGCTGGCTACTACACTAGTACTGACCGCACCATACCGCGCCGCCAACCATGCCGCCGCCGCATGCGGTAATACATGCTGGCTACTACACTAGTACTGACCGCACCATACCGCGCCGCCAACCATGCCGCCGCCGCATGCGGTAATACATGCTGGCTACTACACTAGTACTGACCGCACCATACCGCGCCGCCAACCATGCCGCCGCCGCATGCGGTAATACATGCTGGCTACTACACTAGTACTGACCGCACCATACCGCGCCGCCAACCATGCCGCCGCCGCATGCGGTAATACATGCTGGCTACTACACTAGTACTGACCGCACCATACCGCGCCGCCAACCATGCCGCCGCCGCATGCGGTAATACATGCTGGCTACTACACTAGTACTGACCGCACCATACCGCGCCGCCAACCATGCCGCCGCCGCATGCGGTAATACATGCTGGCTACTACACTAGTACTGACCGCACCATACCGCGCCGCCAACCATGCCGCCGCCGCATGCGGTAATACATGCTGGCTACTACACTAGTACTGACCGCACCATACCGCGCCGCCAACCATGCCGCCGCCGCATGCGGTAATACTAGCACGCTGGCGACTCCTTCCTATTCCACAAAAAACTAGGACGCAGGAACGTGTATCCCAACATACTGAACATGGATCATTTGATCCACTATTGACTCTTCATAACACGTTACTCGCTTTTTGTAATTATTTCTTAAACTTGGCGTTATGGTAGAAACTGACCTGACTTTTATATACAGGTTTATCAGCACAGTTGCTGTCTCGTATAACGGGCACGGTGCTACTAGTCGCAGGGGAGCGACACAACATGCCTACAGAACAACTCAACAAAATTAACATCGGACTCAATTTGAAGTTTAATAAAAAGGTAACATACATTATTGTTATTCATTTATATAACTATGATTAATAAATGTCTGGTGGAAAGCGCAAATATCTATACTATTTAATGTAGTTTAAACCGCCAAAAACCGGTAATACAAAGCACAAGGAACGAGTCCTGTCGCCGTTGTGTTTAGCCTTCTCACTCGCACTTACATACGTTTCGCTCACACCATGTACGTTCCATTGCACTCCTACATAAAAAATATTTTTTTAATTTTAATTTTTCATATGGTAGGGTAATCAATTGGTAACGTGCCAAGAATCTGTTAATCATCCTAATTTAATCGTTTTCATTTATAAAATTATTTAGCATATCCATTTTTATGACATATTTCCTTATAGAACCTAGAAGTAGCAGGCTACACGCGTCGCTGCAAGGTAACGAATGCGTGGCTGTACTCCGAGCGTTGTATAGAGCTGGTGCAAGCGTACGAGAAGCAGTTCCCCGAGGTCTTTGACTGTCTCGGCTCTGGACAGCATAGTAGGGATGTCTACTTCGAAAGCGATATCTACCCGCAGGATCTTGGGTAAGATAGCATTTTTTTTAAATATTAACTTTTTGTGACACCCTGTGTGCGTCGTAATATAGAATTTTGATTACCTAGTTTTTGAATCCAACATTTGTTTCAAATTGACTATTTTATGACACTCTGAATACGTCGCAATATAAAATTAAGATTTATATACCCAGCATGTGCTATATTAACTTTTTTGTGACATCCTGTATGTTACGGGGTAACATAAAATTCAGATTATGTTTGTAGAAGACACCAGTCTTTGTTCTTGTCAGGTTTATTTTATCAGGATATTATTTTCATGTTAACTACAGATAAAACAATCTTTAAAAGTAATTGTTTCATTAACAAGGCATCTAGTATTATAATTAAATTATAAAGTACCAGGGTAAAAAGTAGCCTATGTACTATGCAGAGACTATAATCTACCTCTGTGACAATTTTATTCAGACCTGTTCAGTGGTTTTTATTTGAAAGAGTGATAAAATTTGGCCTTTATAACAGTAGTAGGATTTCTTCTTCATACAATTTCATGATTTCATATTTGTATTTGATTTCATATAACATTTGGTCCAACAGAAAGAACAAAGCGCAAGATATAGCTCAATGGATAAAGGCCCAGCCGCACTCCCGCGCCGCGCGCCGCGAATGTGGCTCCGAGGCTTTGGAGCCGGAGGAAATGAAGGCTCTGGCTGACGACCTCGACAAACAGATCGCAGCACTCAAGGAGAAGGAGAAGAAAGTCACTCTGCAGGTCAAATGGAACTTATTATACAAGGTAAGCGGGACATTTTAACCATCTCTGTCTTTTTGGAATAAGTCGGTAAACGCGCAGACGGATAATCTGATGGTAAGCAATCATCGTCCTTGGACATCCACAACATCAAAGGGAGACAAAATTACGTTGTCAGCCTGGATTGGAGAAGGATAGGCGAAAGGATTGGGCTCCCGGTTACTTGAATGATATATAGACACACAGCGTGAGTTTCGTTAATTATTTATAAATTATAAATATTTCTTTCTTCTTTATCTTAGACACATACATCCGAAATTGTCAATATACAAAATGTTCTATAGTTTTTAGCAATTTTTTAAGATACTATTAAGCTATTTGACTCGTGAATACTAAAACGTCATAAAGTTTTATACAAATTTCATGGAAAATTACCGTTTTTTGACATTTGGATAAAAGTATTGAATTTGACTAGTTGGAAACTACCGTATTATGTATTAGTACGAAGTAATACGTCCCCCCCCCCCCCAGCCGGAGTTATACAACGGTTTTTTAACTAAGACACAGTTGTCTGTAATACTAAGGATCCTCACAATTATGTAGTAGTAAGAAATAATGCATTCTCCCCAGCCGGAGTTACACAGCGGCAACCTGTGCCCGGACCCGAGGGCGGACTTCCGCCTGTACGACCGCGTGGTGTGCGTGGCGGCGCACGTGACGGCCCCGCTGGCCGCCGCCGGCACCGTCGTCGCCGTCATCGCGCCCGCCGCCGCCAACACTGTCCGCCTCTCCGACAAACTCAACGCTGACAATTCCTACCTCGTCATGTTTGATGAGCCCTTCCCCGGAGCTATGACTGAGGACCTCTTCGACCAGCCGCGTTTCTATAGGTAAATATATTTCACTGCCACTTTTTCTTAAAAAACCCTGTCTTGCCCTAAAACCACACTAGAATTTTCTACTGTATCGTGGGTCCATCCAAACAAACACACATTTTACACCTACACTCAAAACAACAATTTGTAGATCTCGCAAAAATTTACTCCGTGCGTGAATCGAATCCACGACACGTTGGACTGCAGCCTACCCAACCTATCCACTGCGTCAACCTGGCAGTCGAATTTGAAATCTGTTTAAAATCGTTTTATTTTAAAGCCTTTTAAATATTACTGCTGAATGCCTATCAGCTTTAATAACATCGACACGAAATTAAATCCTCACACTCAAAATATTCTAATTTCCTTGTCTGTATAACTAGAATGACCCCGAACAACATGTTGAACCTATCATACGGCCGCAAGCTCCGCAACGCAGCGCCCCCGGTAATCCCGCAAGACAGTTTCCTGCAACAGAAGCAACAAAAGCAACAAACGCCCAACATACTACGTCGGGAGGACGGACATCATTCAGCATTTGCTAACTATAGGTATGTGCATATAAGTTAAAGTCAAAATCATTTATTCCAACTAAAACATGTAAAGGTACTTTTGAAACGTCAAAAAAGGATAATAGTCTGTCAATCTATTCGTCATTGAAGCTAGGTGCTCTTTCCAAAGTGTAGATTCGAATGGAGAAGAATAAAAGAAAGATGAAAGTCGATCGTGTACTTACTACCTTTTTCCTATGCCTGTGTTCTAGATGCGAATGCGCTATATGCGCGCATATTTGTCCATTCTCGATTATTTCTAGCGTATAAGTGCTTCCCACACGAAGAAGCGGTTTAAGCATTGATCATTATGCTTGCTTCAACGGGAGTGGTGATTTCAAACTAGAATTTTAAATTAAGTCAGTTTTCCTCACCATGTTTTACTTCACTGTTTACCAATGGTGTCTAAAAATATACTTGGTAAGTATATAAATATAAATTATAAAGGTTTAAAACCGTAAGTATATGAGTAGTGAAGCCTTAATGTCTGTTGACGCCAATCTCTGTAGCCGTTTAAAGTGAAATGCCCTCTAAACGCTCTTTAACAAATAACTACTTTTGTGGCACAAGAAACCGTCGCCTAAAGCTAGTAAACTTTGCAATTATTAGCCTATATTCTTCTTCACAATCCGAACAAACCTGGTTGACTGACAAAGAATAGGTAACATATGGCATTAAGTCCGCCTTATGTACCTTTATGTACAGTAAAGTATAAATAAATAATGTATGTACACAAACAGTTAAGATTATGATTGTATTTCAGCCCGCCTGGAGACAAGGCAGTGTCGCCGGATAGCCGAAACCATAACACTTCTGTTGCGAGCAACGGATCACCCGGAGGGGTGAGTCACCATATCCAAACAATATTATATTTTGTACTATAGAATAAATTACAGCTAGACAACCAACCTGTTCTTCAATAGCTAACCATTAAGGTCGATACGTAGCTGGGGTTTAAGTATAGTTTAAGTATATATTTTGACAATGTTCAAACTTATTGTCCAATGACAAAACAGTCCAAAATAATAGGTACTTTTTTACAAAACATTCAGCCCATAAATATATATATTAATACACTTTTTAAGTCTACAAGTGCTATTGTATATTATATTTGTACAATCCTAAAAAATAATTTAAATTTTCTCTACAGAATAGCGCCACAGATCTACTGAAAAGTCTTCTCAAAATCAGCGACGATCCTGAAGCTAAGAAAAGCAAGGTAAGGTATTATGAAACGAAGTTGCTTGGCGCGTCTGTTTGTGAATGATTAGTCTCTGAAACTACTGAGCGGATTTTGACCCTATTTTCGCCAATGTATAGACTGAATCTAGATGAAAGTTCTTGAGTATTACGTATGAATATTCTAGTATTTGTGCTAAGTTGTGGCCTAAAATCTATTACAGAAATAAAATCTCAGAAAACTTATAGGTCTAACTTTATATTTTCGTGTAGGATACGACGCCTGAACATACTCGCAACTGGCGAGCGAAGAGCGACAATAATCAGCCGACTGCGGTCTATCCTCAACAGAGGTAAGATTCTTAAACTCACACTACTCGCTTCGGGTCTTGGCAGAAGGAAAAAGGTGGTTTTTAGTTAGTGTCTGACTCTCCTTATCTCCCCACCCTGCGTGGAAGAATGCCCTTAAAAGTAAGAAATTCATAACCCTTTGTAGGCAATTCGGTATTTTCCTAAGCCAAAACTTTTTTATACATGACGATGGATTAGAAATTGATTGGAATATTAAACTTTAATAAAATAGTTATATTATATTATAATTATAATTATATTAAGTCATATGTTGCGATTTAATACAATTTTCATACTAGAGTATCGTTTTATAGTAGATAAATCTAGGTTTTGAAATAAATTTCAATAGAAAATGTATGTCCTAAGTCTGTCCAAAATCGCAGATTTTATAAGGTACCTGATGGTAAGCAATCGGCGCCCGAATAATACCCGCAACACCGAAGATTCACATGTACAATCTTTTGAAACGAAACGAAACGAAAGTGTTGTTTTTCGCTGGTATTCTGTGAGGCCTGTCGAATCGACTCATTTGTGTCGAAGCTTGGCTCTTCCACAGATGATGTTCCTACATATATGAACCACAAAGATGTTAATGTTTTATTTAAAATAAACCTCTATATTATGCTATGAACTTTTTGCTCAAGCACTCCTCCTGTTTTTTGGAGTTTGTTTTCTGGGTAAGATTCAATATTCTTTTATATCTTTGATCACACATTTAAAAAGAAGAAAGCGCATATTGCTTGTTAGTAAAATCTATTAAAGCTAAAGTTGAGCTGTAGTTATGGTGCGTATTAACATCTTTTGAATTGCTAGGGGTCCGCCGCCGCCTCAGAATTGGCGCAAGGAGAATGCGTCGCTCGGCAACAACAACCGACAACCTGTCTTCTCTAATTATAAGGTCAGCATACTATCTATTTCAATCGTGAAGTAAATTGACATAACAATAAGAGTATTCTAATCCCTGAAGGAGGTAGATGTTCACATGTCTTATGCATGTAGTTTTATGTATGATTTATACTAACTAGGTCAGAGACCGGTTTAAAAGAACTCCTGTATTCGTGTATAATGTGATATAGCAGTTGAGCTAAGAGCTGTTTGTTTTCGATAGCAATTAAATTGTTTCCTCAGTCAATAAGAAATTATTTCAACTTATAAAATCATAAAAATGCTTAATATTATTCATCTTTTAGATAATTCAAGTGAAGTAAATTTGTTATTTGACACTTAATTCATACAGAATTTAAAAGATGTTTTTCAAAATAATATTTTCATTCCAACAGAATCAGGCGCCCCTCCCGCCGTACCCGACGTTCGGGCAACCGTACCAAGGTCCAGGTCCAAGCCAGATCCCGTTCCCCCAGTTCCAAAACCCACACTTCCAACAACGCAACCAATCTTACAACATGCCACGAAACCAAGGCCCACATAACAGAAGCTTCGAACAACCCCATAATCGGAGTTTTGAACAACCACATAACAGAAGTTTCGACCAACCTCATAATCGCAGTTTCGAGCAACCACAGAACTTCCCCAAACATTTGCCCAGCGTTGGAGCTGTTGGACCCAATATTACTTTAGGGCCAAGTTGGAACCAACCCAACAATCCAGCTAATTCACAGGTTAGTAATAATTGTAGTTTTTATGTATTAATTTTGACTTGAATTCTTGCTTTTCTGTCTTGTGTCACCAAATTAGGTGTCATGGTAAAAATCCAAAAGTTAATTAATCGAATGTTTAAGTATTCGAATGTTTTTAATAGATCATAGTCTAAAGTTCGTGTACCAGTAATAAAATAGCGTGATTTAGTAGACCTACAACAATTAGTCATATGGGTAAGAAATCTATCTATGAGCGTCACGCACGTCGCCTCGAACCGCGAATGAATGAGAACGAACACATGAATAAGAGTCCTGTTATGACTTGAAACTAGTAAAGCTTTTCTCAGTATAAATAAATTCTCAATAAATTTTAAGTTATGTTTTGTGTCATTAGTTACACCAAGTCAATGCTTTCTCTATCTATGCTAATAAATACAATATCAATAATCAAGCATTAATTGGAACGGGGGATGTTTGCAACTGAAGTGATATGACGCATCCTATCTACGTGTACCTGTGTGTCACAATCCTTATCTCTGCTAATGAGGAAAATCAACACTTTTCTTTTGTAATTGAATTAATGAAAGCAATTACGGTAGATTAAAATACCTATACTTGTCACAACTTGACTTGTTGGGTTCGAAAACTGGCAAGTAACAATATGACCTTTTCAAGGTATCTGTACTTTCTAAGTTGATTTACTCACAACTGGCCTTCGCTTATGGAAAACATTCTTGAATTCGTAAGAAACCCGATTTTGCTTAAGTTTCGAGAATCCGCCTTCAGCAAGCGCAGTGATAGCGTAATGATTAATGCTCAAACCTTTTCCGTGTGAGACTATTTATTAAAAGTACGGGTCAGCTAAAAGCTCGACCGGCAATCCATTTAATAGTAAACGGCCGTAGCGTGCTTATCAGCTAGTTGTCCTAGCCAAAACAAAAAATCATACTATTGCCTCACAGAAAACTGACGTGAAACTACGCTGGTGTTGTCTTGAGGACGCTCCCCCTCCCGCCATCCCCAAAAGTCAGGCCAATCGCCCTATAAAATATACACTTTCCATCTAAGGATTATATCATCTCTTTATATTATATCTTTGTTTTTATATTCCACCCTTACTATAGAGATATATTAACAATAAAGGTTTGGTATCGCAAGTGGCATTATCTCATAAGTACCATTGTAATACTTAACGTGACGAAGATTAATCGTAATATGATCACGACAACCACAGATAGGGCCCAAAAAGGCGTGATGTCCAGCCGGAGTTTCGGGTCGAACATAATAATGTAGTAATATATGGCTTTTTTTTTAACAAATGACTTCTCCCGCTCAGGGTAAGGCGAGACTCTTACTGACTAAAAACCCCCCCGTTCCTTCTCCTGCTCTGGGCCGAGGCCGCGGTGACGCATTGCGCTTAGCCCGCAACCCCGGCTGAACATCAGGCCTATAGGGCCCCATCTGTGGAGTAGTATATGGCTAAAGCAGGAGAAGGAACTCATTCCCTCTCGCCTCATCCTGGATAAGAGAAGTCATCTGGTGATTTACTCTTCAATATATTAGTCTTGCATTTTGAATGTCGATTGGATCAATCTCTATTTCACGAAACTCTTAATTTAATTGCAAAATGTCTGTGTTATTCAGGTGTCTGATTTTAAACAACCCTAAATAATAATTTATTTAGAAATGTCTAATTTATATTAATTTTAAGTTGGAATAATATTTAGTTATAAGTAAATTTAAGTCTCTTATTGACCCCACAGTGAAAACGTTGCAAAGATTGAGCTTTCTAAATATAGACAACAAAAAAAAACATTAAGCTGGTCCTACCAATATCCTGCATAATAATACTGTCTTATCTGGCTAGTTTTTATTCTGGTAATAAAGATGCTAATTAATGTCTGCGTTTTTAACTGTTTTTTTCCGCTTGTTACAGAATATGAGGTCACCGAACGCCAACAGGCCTCTCCCACAAACCGGCAACGACAAAGTCAGCAATCCATTTGTACCGCTACAAGTTCAAACCAGGTAAGTCATAAAAGCTTACAGAAATCATTATATCTTAAGTGGTTTCTTATTTAAAGTTCGTGTATGCTACCCGAGCGTACGGCGCGTCGCGTTCTGCGCGCGCCTCCAAGGGCCGATAGACCACCACAGATGGAGCCCTATAGGGCTGATTTTTAGCCGGGGTTGCGGGGCAAGCACAATATGCCACAGTGGCGTCGGCCTAAAGCAGGTGAAGGAACGGGGGCGCAGTTATAGTCAGTAAGAGTCTAACACTCCCTCCCGCCCGACTCTGGGCGGGAGAAGTCATTTGATGATTTTCCCCTCACAAAAAAGATTTTGTCTGCTACCAATGTATCGCCCTTGTCACAATTATTGGAAACATGGACTTATAATATCTATACTAATACTAATAATATTATAAAGAGGTAAAGTTTGTATGTAGGGGTAATCTTTGGAACCACTGGTCGGATTTCCATAATTCTTTCACTGATAGATGGCTACAATGTTCCTGAGTGCCATAGGCTATAAAAGATCACGCTATGATTAAATGGAACCGAGCAGCGTGTGAAACTGCGTGAGAGTAGCTTGTCTAATTATAAGTTTGAAATGTGACAAATGTCTATCATACTAAAAACGACTTGAAACTAATTAAAATAATTAAACCACTGAATCATAATACTGTGGCGTAAACGTGATTGTCTTATTATTGTTGTAAAATGCCGATATGTTGCACTCACTACAAGTGGTTACTCACAAACACTTCCGTAGAATAATCCTATTATGTTTTATATACATACATGTATGTATGTCCAGAGTGTATTCATTTGATATGTTATCTAAAGTAATATTGAAATCAATAATGATATTGATTTTATTTCATGTAGGTGTATAGGTACTGTAGGAGGTTTATAACGCATTATTTTGCTTTTGTATGTTATAGTTACTTTAAAATAGGCAGAAAATATATTAATTTTCAATAGGTAATTTATAATCGACCTCCGATTCCTTTCATTATATTATATTATATAATCTAAAATATGAAAATTTACCTTAAACCTTTCAATCGTCGTGGGTGTGCGGACGGCGAGTAAGGGGTACTCGCCGCCTGACCAGAACCAGACCCAGACCCGAGCGTACGGCGAGTAGCGTTCCGCGCGCGCCTCAAAGAGCCAATAGACCACCACAGACGGGGCCCTTGAGGCACCGCGGCCTCGGCCCAGAGCAATAGAAAGAACGGGGGGGGGGGAGTTATTCAGTAAGAGTCTGACACTCCCTCCCGCACCACCCAGGGCGGGAGAAGTCATTTGATGTTTTCGCCTCACCAAACAAAATACCTATAGAAGTTAATTGTGTTTTTAATTCATTTTTCAATAGCACAGGCACTGTTTATTTTGTAAGTTTAGCAGCATTATCATAAGCCCATAGAAACAAAATTAGAGTTACGCGCACAAGGACACCACGACGCATTCATACCCAAAGCGCCACTCCAGACAAGTGGCCGGTATCTCTCGAAGGCGACTACTTCTTTACATTCAAATCCCAACAAGGTTCTGTTAATTTCCATATCTTTCAATGATTTCATTGTTATGTATGCTACTGAAAATCACGTGAGACCTGTAGTTATTCGTCAGATGATTTTATTGCATACTTGCTTTTGCACGCGACTTTGTTCGCGTGTAATAGTGACTTCCTGCAGACTTTTGGTTTGAAAACTATCCTATGTCCTTTCTCGAGTTCCAACCTATGTCTGTACCAAATTTCACACAAATAGATTCAGTAGTTTAGGCGTGAAGAAAAGATAGACAGACAGACAGAGTTACTTTCGCATTTATAGTATCAGTTTGGATTTCCTTACGACTTATATTTAATGATTAGCAATTCGAATTTCGAAAGAACATCAGCTTGTTCTCCAGTGATGACCTTTACCACTTTTAATGACACGTAAAGTATAGCAATAGTTTTTTTTTGTGAGGGGAAAATCATTCAATGACAGGGCCAAGCGAGAGAGAGTTTCAGACTCTTAGTGTCTAAAAACTCGTTCCTTCCTGCTCTGGGCCAAGGCCGCGGTGCCTCATTGCGCTTGCCCTGCAACCCCTATTATAGCAATAGTAAATTAGAGTAATAAGCAAACATTTTATTTACCAGACGCGTCTCTCACCCTGGTGGCTCGTTAAGTAGGCAGGACTCCAGCCAATCGTCCTCGCAGAAGTCCACATTACCTAAGCCGCAGCCCACTACCGCACCGGTGAGTTTTTCATACCTTTTTATATGTGAAAGGCAAAAGAGCAGACGGTCATCTGGAGGTTAGTACTCAGCGTCACCCATGGACAACAGTAACACCAGAGGAGATACGAGAGGGATTGCTAAAATTTTGGGGGTTAGATATTTGAGAATTGAGGATTGAAGGGGGGATAATAAGTCTCCATTGACTTCACTCACAAAATGATAGCGTCGTTTCACCTACCATTTATGTTTAACTAAGACGGAACAAAAAGTAAATATACAATATAAAAAATGTGATACTCGACTAGTTTCAAGCCATGCTAGAGGCCCATATTCATGAGCAGCATTCCGCGACACGCGACTCGGCGACCGTCGCGCTGCTACTGTCTATGAATATGGGCTGAATATGGACCTCTAGCATGGCTTGAAACTAGTCGAATTATTACGTGAGTAAGCCGAAAATATAATAAATAATTTAGAATGTCTCACGAAAGTTATAATAAAAATAAAAAATGTGTTTCAATTTTCACAAAATTTAAGTCAATAAGCTTGTTAAATTCCTTTTTCAACATTATACACAGATAAACCAACAGAACCAAGGCCAAACGTCGAAACCAACGAAAAAGAAGAAGAAACCAAGAATAGCAGCCAACCTGCCGTTCCAAATGGACTAAAGCTACTTCTAGTTATAAGACAGATTACATAGGGTGTTGACTTACCGCCGGCCGTTCTTGACTTGCATGAAACATGTCAAAATTTAAAACCAAAAAAGTAGAAAAAGCCTTCCTTGACCCACAATTTATAGCAATTTTATTATGGCATTTTGTCATTAGTATCTTTTGTCAAATATTATTGAAAAATAATACTTATATAACTAAACAGAATTGAGGAATAATACTTAGCTTAAGATCATACGCGAATGTCTCACTTTGACTTTTTGTCATTTTGTAGGTTAGAGATGAATGTATGAATGTATACACACTAGGCGAACGAATAATAATGTTTTCTATTATTGTCTACGTCGACGCGGATTCTATTTCTAGCTGTACTAATTTGATAAAATCATAAATAAGGATACAGGCCGGTAAGTCATCACCCTTATAACAATTGTGACCTCTGCCCATGGTGTAGGCAGTGTTCCTAAATATTATTTTTTTATTAATTTTAATTTAGGTTTAGGTAGCAAAACGTACCTATTGACATATCAAATGGGAACCTAAAACCTCCAAGAGAGATGTGACAATGTCTACAAACTTGTTACTCCTGGTTTCTGAAAGGTCGATTCAATAAGCATGATAAAATAATTAGTTCTATGTTCTAATAAATCTGTTAAATTTGAAAGATTAATATAACTTAATTAACTTATTGTCTAGATCGTCACGCCATCTTTTCCGGGGCCTACCTCGCCTGCGGCTTCCATCCTGAGGTGTCCACTGGGTGACAATAGTGGCCCATCTCTCTGGATGCATTCGGCTGACGTGTCCGGCCCAGTCCCATTTTAATTTTGCCGCCTTTTGGCCCACATCAGCGACTCCTGTTTTGGAACGTATCACGGTATTCCGTATGCGATCGGTCCGTTTTATGCCCAACAGGCTACGTTCCATTGCCCTTTGGCAAACCCGGAGCCCGGACTTCTGACACTCGGTGAGAGACCAAGTTTGCGCACCGTAGGTTAGGACAGGCAAGATACACATGTCGACTAATTTTCGCTTGAGTGAAAGGGGAAGGTCCCCTTTCATATATTGCTTTATGGACCAGTAGCATTTCCAGGCGTTCTCGATACGGCGATCTATTTCCTTCTCCTGCCTGTTATCGAAAGAAACTAACTGGCCCAAGTAGATGTACTCCTCGACATAGTGTAGAGCTTGCCCATCTACCTCGATCCTATGTTTCGTGCTGTTGGTCATAGCTTGTGTCTTGCTCATGTTCATTTGAAGCCCAACCTCCAGGCTTGCCCTGCTCAGATCTTGGAGCATTTGTTGGAGCTCTGCTGATGTAGACGCGAAAAGAACGATGTCGTCAGCAAACCGCAAGTTGGTCAGTCTTTTACTACCGATGACGATGCCTTTAGATGTCCACGACAGAGTGAGTTTCCTGAACACTTCCTCCAGTGTACAGGTAAACAGATTAGGAGAGAGTGGATCGCCCTGTTTTACGCCTTTTTCTATGTAAAATGGTGGGCCAGTGGAAAGCAGTTTAATTGAAGCTGTGCTGGCTCTGTAGACCAACTCCAAAAGCTTTATATAGGTCTCATTTATATTTTGTGAGCGTAAAGATGTAAAGATCGCTGTGTGTTTGAGACTGTCAAAAGCCCTAGAGTAATCCACAAAAGCCAGGTATAACGGTTTATGATATTCGTTATATTTTTCTATTATTTGGTTGAGCGTAAATAGATGGTCGGTTGTGGAGAAGGATGGGCGAAATCCAGCCTGTTCGACTGGCTGATGTTTGTCTAGTTGAAATCTGATGCGGTTATGAATAATTTTAATAAAGAGCTTATACAGATGGGAGATTAGGCTTATGGGTCGATAGTTATTGATTTCGGTCTTGTCACCTTTTTTATGCAGAAGAATTATGTTGGAGTGGGCAAATTGTTTTGGTATCTGACCAGAAAATAAAATGGAGTTGAAAAGATTCGTGATATAGGGTGTTAAAGTGTTTTTGCATAATTTAAGTATCTCAGTACTGATGCCATCTTCTCCAGGGCTCTTGTTGTATTTTAAGCTTTTAAAAGCTAAATCAATTTCGCCACTTCTGATGGGAGGGATAGCATCCGGGCAGAGATAATCGATAGGTTCAGAAGGTCGCGATGGATCTGTGTATAAAGTTTTGTAAAATCGTCGAGACTGGTGGACACGGTCGAAGGATCGGGAGGTGTGGAAGCGAGATGGGGAGGCCTTTGCCCAGCAGTGGGACAATATAGGCTAGTAAAAAAAAAAAAAAAAAAAAAAAAACTTATTGTGTTAAAATTTGCTCACTATTCAATTGTATTTTTGTTTAAATAGCTCAATTTTTGAATTCACAATCGAAAGATGTTTCGATTTAATTCGTAATCAATTGACCCTGTGCATCGTTCTATACGACTACTCCCATTGGAATAAATACTTGTATAATTATTTAAGGGGATGTGTATATAAGTGTGAATTTCTTGTGTATAAGGGTAAAGGATCCTAATACTTAATGCATAATTTTTGAATGACGTGGATCCCTTTCAGAAATTCGGATTCGATTTATTTGATAATAAATAATTTAAGTTTTTTTATGATAAAATGTATTTTATTAATTGGACGTTGAAGCCTGCACTAAGACTGGGCTCAATCTGTAAAGTGTGACTTTGAACTGAGCTTAAGATTGAAAAGGAAAGAAAAAACAGGAAAAACAAATTTCCGAGGTAAGAATTTAAAGTTTGGTACATATTAATTAAAACATTAATGTAATGAAATCTTGTAAATGTTGTAAATAATATGAAGTTATAAGAATCTGTAATGAATGGGTGTGATCAATTTGTTTTAATGTAATAAAAATGAGTATACGTTCTGGTTGCAGCCAGGCTAAAAGTATTATCTTTTCGAAAATTATCATTAAATGTACAAGTGATATATTTGGCGCAAATTTCGACAAATATGTTTGGAATGTTAAACGTACTTTCATTCAGCTTAGTTATTTATTTGGTATGTATGTAAGAAATTAAACTTTATTTCAGTATAGAGACAGTAAGTAATGTTATACTAAATTTCATATTTTCGACAAATTTTCCAAACATGACTTGTTTAAGTAAAACTAATGGTTATTGTCGCTGTGCCGAGTCCTTATTTTATTTTCTTACCTGCATACTAAATTACGGAGCTGACTAACAGAACGGCAACATATACATAGTTCCTCCATTTTCCACCTTATAGTAAGGTTTGCCCGCGTCATAGACGTTACCAACAATTTAATTATTTTCCGCTCGCTCGACTACAGAGAGAATATTTTTCTACACTCACGTGTTTTCTTCCAAGTCCTTCTATTTATACGGGGAAGGCAGGTGATTATGATTTTGATACTAAAGGACTGTTTTAAAGTCTACTGCCGACTTGAGACAATAAAAAATATATTCTATGTCGCTTACGCTTACGTCGTTGTGAAAACTTTTGTTGTTGTATTCTGTGCAATTCGATATAACTTATCCAATTATTATTATTTATTTAAGCAAAAATATGCTTTATAACGGTCACGCGCACCCAAAATCTATTTTCTAGTCTTGCCATTCTCATACGCAGTAACAAAGTGTGAAGATGAATAAATGATTTAATGTTTTCACAATTCAACGCCTTTGTTGATGAATGAAATGACTTGATGAGTTAACGTTGACTATTATTATTGTAATCGCGAGGTGAAACAACTCTAGGCTTAATTGCACGTTGCAAATGACAACTGTCAATGTTTTTTTTATTTTTATTACAATTATTTATTTCTGCGTATTTTGGTTCCTTGTCGCCTTGGCGAAGGTCATAAGGGCGTCATTTGTTGACGCAAATAGTGTTAAAATGTTGAGAAAATATTTTTTTTTTTACATAAAGACGTTTTTCGCTTGACTTCTCTCGAGTCGTATTTTTGCTCATCAAATCTTGGGAGAGAGGTGTCAACCAGATCACTATAACTTTCATCCATAACATAGTTCACTAGTTTCCCTTGAAATTGGCGGCCAAGATCAATTCTCTCAATATTATAACACAAGATTAGTTGCCAATAATAAGTTGCCGATCCTCTTTGGTCGAGTATATTTCTTATAAGAAACCAATGGTGCTGCAATATTTCTTTTAAACCCTGCCTTCCTCTATAAAAACCTCAGTTCAACTTCCACATGTACACTTGAATAGTACAAAGTACTTAGAACTACGAATAAATATATTTTTCTCATGTATAAAATTGTTCCCGATACCCCATACTTTTAAATTGTAGTTGCAATGCAATAGACAGATAATAATTGTCATGCATGAATATTCCAATTGGAAGTACCTAGCGTATTAAATACAATAATATAAACTATACGTTTTCAGTCTAATCAAAGAATTTTTAACTCTATTATATTTCGTCTTGTAAAGGGTTTTTAATTCCCAAAGTTGGTTCTACTGGTTAGAGTTCAATTTTGTTTAAATTAAGTTTATGGTTTAGTGTCAAATATTAAAAAAATACTGATTTGGATTACTTTCAGATACATTTTGTATGATAATTATCTACCAAGATAATTATTATTATTTGTCAGTTTTGTTTTTGAGCAAGTAAAAATTTTTGTAACGTACGTGATGTTGATTTATCAAACATCAATGTGAATTCTGGGTATCAAAACTCTTTAAAGTTTAATATAAAATTAATAAAATTTAAAAAAAAACAGGTTTCGTCAAGTACCTATAATCCGTAGTAAGTAATCATACAAAATGTATCAATAAGTAAGAAGTAACAAACAAATTTCTTCATAAAAATTCAGTTGTTTTCTTACGATTATTAGGTAATATAATTTGACTATGAGCATAATAAATGTTTAATGTAAAATGTAACGTATGTGTACTACAATAAAACCTATTTCTAAATGTATGAACCAAAATCCTTATTTGAAGTTTTGATGGGATTCGATGCTTATTTTTTGGTAAAAATTCGTTACTGAATTTTCTATAGAGTTCTATACGATATGTAATTACAGCTAAAATCTGTCTCACGAAGGCAGATCGAGTTTCAACTCTATTGCAAAAGTAATAAGATTGAAAAACTGTTTTGCAAAGACAGTGTAACTTTATCTGCTTATTTGTTACCTGTTGTACTTTAATCAGTAATGGATGACATGACTTAGTAGTTGCTTATTCAATACTTACATGTGTAAATCTAAAATTCTGTTCATATGACATACTTTTTATCCAGTCTGACCTTATTTTTATATATAAAATCAATATTATGACCCAATAAAGTGAAAATTGCAAATCCGAATTTGGTTCTTCTTTCTTTTTACAACCTACCAAAGCCTTTTATTACTTACTCTGTCTAGAAAAGTTAGAATCACATTCAAATCTAAGCTGAAATTGCTACAGCAATTATTACTACCAGGCAGAAGACATAATTATTTCTAGGTATTTTAAATTCTTATGTCTTGTATATAATTAAGAACTAGAAAATAGCTGTTTTTATTAAAGATAACTAAAGTCACATGAGTAATATCTCAATGGACTTGAAGAGTCGACCTAGGTTACACATCTCGTACGAAAAAATAATATACAATTTTGCATTGCTGACTTTCAGTTCAAGGCTTAGCGCTTACATTAGGGCTATGCTCAGAACCTAGATCTGAAGTGTCTGAAGAAACCTTATTAGGTATTAAAACTTGATGATAACAATAGTAAAATGCAAACAATTTCGAGTGCTCGTTATACCAGCCACTTGAGTCTAACTGCATATAAGGCCCGGAATGGAGTTACCACACTCATTTATGGAACTGCAGCGCTATAAGGTTAGTGTTTACACTTTAAAACATATTTAGTGCACATATTTCTTTGGAAACGGGAAAAAGACGCAAGTATAGCTGAAATTGTATATTTAAAATCATTTTAATCATTCCAAATCGTAGTTTCTTAGCCTACAAGTTCTCTAGCCTTTCGTGATAATTGTTTTGTTGTTTTAGTGTGATGAAATTCAATGGTGTTCGACTCTGTTATTTTTATTACGCATGCTGTGATTTCCTATACATATAATATTTTGATATTTGATGACATCTTATATTCTGCTATTCATGTAAATTATGCTTGTATTGAGTTTTTCTTGCTGAAAATGCCAATGAATAAATAAATGTACATAGTTAAAAATGCAGTGATGGTGTTGATTATATGTAGTGTTGACGATTAGTTCTATTTTCAATGCCCTTCAACACTACAGCAATCTGCGTGTTCAATCACTACCTAAGTGCTTACGTCACCAGAAATCCATAGAGACGACTAAATCATAATAACTGTGTAATCTTTAGAGCTGAAAATTGAAGTAAAATTTATGTACCTAAATTCGGTTTACTAAGAAGCCCCAACTGAGAAGGCCTTTGCAACTTACATAACATTTTATATTTGTATTTTAAAAATAATAAATCATTTATATATATAATACCTAATTTATTTTTATATAATAATTTATTTACGTGGATTAACTGAGGAAACCCTACTACGTAGTTTGCGATGACGTCGCGCAGCCAACTGAGCTCGCACTCTCATGAATAAGAGCCCCGTTATGACTTGAAACTAGTTGAGCTTTTCTCAGTTGATTTACGTGAGTAGGTAAGTTGTTATTTTCAATAAATCTAATTTGTCTCATTATATCTACGAATAAAATGAGTTTATTATTCTTATTAAAATACTTAAACGCTTTTTTACTTTTTACACAGTAACTGAAAATGCGGTTGTTAGCGCTGATAGTGTTAGCTGCGGCGGCAGTGAATGTGTCCTGCGTGGACATGTGGTTCAAGTCTGCCGTTGTCTACCAAATCTACCCGCGCTCCTTCATGGACAGCAATGGTGACGGTATCGGAGACTTAACTGGTAAATTGAACCTTATACCTACTCTTTGATACTCATAGATTTTAGAGAAAATTGTTGCAACACCAATAAGTCTTTATTCAACAATAGACGTATTCTAAGTACTGAGTGATGTATTTATCTTAACAGGAATCAAAAACAAACTGCCGTACCTACAAGACCTAGGCGTGGATGCTATCTGGTTGTCTCCCATCTACAAGTCTCCGATGTATGACTTTGGCTACGACATTGCCGACTATAAGTCCATTGCGACAGAGTACGGTACTATGGATGACTTCGATGCTCTCATGGCCGAAGCTAAAAGATTGGGTAAGTTTTCTTTTAAGTACTTAAAGTTATGTTAAAGAAAACATTTTAAAGATTAGCTTTATGTAGAGCCTTCCTCACAATAAGGTTTAGGTTGCTCTGAAGCAATGTAACGAATTTATGATCTCCAGACCAGCTTGAAACTTATTGAGCGTCCTCGATATATGTATAATGGCGCAAGTAATAAATACGAACGTTTGGTAAATTTGTTGTTTTGTCATCCAGGTGTCCGCGTAGTCTTGGATTACGTGCCCAACCACACGAGTAACGAAAGCGAATGGTTCCAAAACTCCATTAATAAAGTCGGCAACTACTCTGAATACTACATTTGGGCTGATGGCATACCTGACGCAAATAATCAAAGCATTCTCCACCCACCTAGCAACTGGGTAAGTACCTTTGTATATACCAACTTCTGCCAGAATTGTCTAAAGCAATGAATATTTGTGTGGTTTTCAAGAAGGAAAATGATAGTTGCTCGTTTTTCTCCATTCGATTCTACATTTTGGTACGAGCACCTAGCTTCACTGACTGTCTCACTATACAAATGTACCTGTATAGTTTAGTTGGGAATCATATATTTTCAACTTTGACATTGCGTCCCAATTAGTTTGGCAGCATTGACTGCCTAGAAGTGAATCTGGTAGTTTCGATTTTTAAATATTTAGGTATTGAACGACATAACAGTTGTTATTTAAATTTTGCTAATGTTGTGGATATACCTATATAAACATAAAAGTAACATTTTTGAAGTAGTATGGCATAAAAATCATCTAGGTACTGCAGCAGCAAACTGTACCTATTACCATCTACAAGTTCTCAAGACAAAATTAGGATCCATAATATGAAGTTTTGTTACTCATAACACCCTTTTTTTCAATAAATATAAAGACAAATAAGTAGGCAGCGTTTATCTGTCAGTACTTTTAAATCGAAACAAGGACTGTATACTTATCGTAATCGTCGGCTGTAGAAAGACAATGTTACTGATGTCATCCGCAATCAAATGTTATCATGTGGTTCGATTGCTCGATACTTCAGTGATTGTTTGCTTTTGAAGTGGAAAATATTTGAAACAAACAATGAAACAATGAATTTATTTTTGCAAATAGGCCATAAAACGGCACTTTTACACGTCAATTTATATGTGAAAAACTAGATGAAGCCGGCATTTCCTATCTGACTACTCTGAGAAGAAATGCCGAAACAAACTCAGAGGTCAGTCTCTTTTCAAGTCCAGACAATGTAAAAATAACATAATGTAAGAGAACCGTGCAAGTTGATTCTGTAGTGGTCTTTTGAGGAAAGAACCACAGCAGTTTAAGTGGACCCGTTCTGAAGACAGGCACGCAAGTGTCAGTTTGCAACCAGCATAGCAAGTGCTGCTGAGTTGTCCGACGAACAATACCGATCTAAAGAACATTTGGTTGGGTCGCGCAAGTACTCAAGCAAGGCAAGTCTCACACGGTCCTTACACTAACAAAATAATAATAATGTCAATAAATAATTATAAAAATAATAAATAAAATATTTTTTTTTTAATAATAAACGTAATGTCAAATTGTATATAAAAAGCGTAACTTATGTTACAAACATGTCAACATGACCTGTGCAGAAGTTACAGCGGCTCATTCCCAAGCCTGACTATCTTCTAAGTAGTCTTTTATTTTATAAAATGCTTTACAGTAAAGTTTAGCCTTTATTACACTTTTAAAATTATTGAGGCTCAAATTTTGAATATCCCTAGGAATTTTATTGTAAAAGCGTATACCTTCATTGACATCTAAACGAACTACTTATTTTCTGAAGCCTGGAGGCAGGGACAACATATTTGTTTTTCCCCCTCGTGTTATTTCTTTCCCTACCTCCAATGATATCCTTTTTATTATTAAATATCATCAAGTGACTTTGCCAGCCAGTTTCAGACCCTTTCTAACTTAAAAGTACAAAGATATTAAAACCTCAAACCAACCGAATCTCGCAACGAAGTTAGAGAAGAAGATATCATTGGAGGTTAGCCGGTATTACAAATGCAATAAAGTACCGCGACCCCGGCCTGGACCAGGAAAAGAAACGGGTTGGTTTTTTAGGCAGTAAGAGCCTGACCCTCCCATTCGAGAGAAGTCATTTGATGTTGATGTAAATTTTAATGCCTCATCCGCGGACAAATCCTCTTTAACTTAAACTGAAGATTTTGGTTTGAGATCGAATATCGGTGTTTCAAATCAAATCAAATCATTCATTTCAGGTAGAACACAAAGAGCACTTAAAAAAAAACAAAAGTTTTAACTTTATGCGTGTCAGTCTGTCCGTCTGTCCTCTAGTGAAGCCATTTGCTCGTTCCAAAGTGTAGATTCCTATGGAAAACGAGCAAGAAACTCCATGGTTACCCTATTTCAATTAGTTGCACAATGCATTTTTGATACATTATTTAGTCAGTGTACATTCTTCATGAATATAGGTAGATTATGTTTTAAAAGTTAATAAATTTTCTTTCAGCTCAGTGTATTCCGGAACAGTGCGTGGGAGTACAATGCTAAACGGAACCAGTTCTATCTGCATCAGTTCGTCATCGGACAGCCGGATATCAACTATCGCTCACCCTTATTACGTGAAGAGATGAAAGTGAGTGTAAAATATTCCCCTATCCCTTTTTCATTTTCCTAATCTGAGATTAATTACAATAATAGATACAAATGCATTAGGTATTTAGTCTGGATTAGGTCACCAGTTGCTTTCAAGGAAGTTGTTAAGGGAGGTCTATGTTGAGCATGGAGGCTTCTTGTATTTTTTTTTTTTTTGTGTTGGGCTGCTAACGAACCGTAATTCTATATCTGGTGGTAAGCAATCAGTGTCGCCCCTGGAAACCTGCAATATCGAAGAGTGTGGCTTTTAATGTCGGCGTGGCAGGTTTAGGATGAACATTATCCTGATCACATTACCTGCATATCAAAAAAGAAGTACGATAGATTATACAATGGTACCTCGAATTTGGTGGGAGCAAAGACATCGTGATCTTTTTTTTTAATGGATTCAGTGACATCACTTATAGTTATTTGTCTATCGTTCGCAAAACCAATTGTTGTTAGCGTTCACAGTAGACGCAACGGAAATCACCATTGTGTGTCGCCGAGATTGTATCGCGCTTGCTTATTGTGTATGTAAACATGACGTTTATGACAATTTAAATTATATAAAGTAAAGAAGCTACGAAGTAAGTACCGATTTGTTGGCGAAGATTAATTCGATCCGGACGAAGTAAGGGGATTAAATAAAATAGATAATATTTGAAAGTATCGTTAAGCAATTTTGAAATACCCATGGGGTAGACATCTACACATTACATACATTTAACTATATTGATACGCGGAGAAACAATTATTTTTTAACGGCAACATTATTAAAAAAAATCTATAAAGCCGGCTATTCTTATCTGACTACTCTAAGAAGGAATGCCGAAATAAGTTCAGAGGTCGGACTTCAAAATTACCTACTTATTAAAGTCCGTGTCGGATGGCCGTTTAGGCCCATAAAAAATGTACCTAGTATTTGTAAAGTTAATTGTATTTGGAAACATGTACATAATGTGTGTACGTGTATGTATATGTTACTAGCTACTTTAACTCAATAATTTTGGCAATACGACCAGCGGTACCATATATTACCCCTACATACAAATTTACAATTTTTTAATTTTAGAACAAGACTTTTAGAAAATGACCTGAATTTAATTTAAAACAATGAAAATCAGATTTTTTCACGTCACAATTTTATTATTTATACAAAAAAAAGATGAAGCCCGCATTTCCTATCTAACTACTCTGAGAAGAAACGCCGAAACAAACTCGAAAAAGTATTGTTGGATTTTTTTTTGTAATAATATTGTGTATTTTGTTTTAGGAAGTGCTTCGATTCTGGTTGAGAAAGGGAGTTTCGGGTTTTCGTGTTGACGCCGTTAACATGCTGTTTGAAGTGGACCCCGCTGATTTCAACAATAAGTATCCTGATGAACCTGTCTCAAGTAATTGAATTTTTTTCTTTTAATCATTTGACAACTCAGTTTGGCTCTAGGAAGTTAAGTAGGTACCTACCATTTTTTTATTAGATATCAAGACTATTTTATTTGTAATATTCACGACAGCTACTTCAAATGTGCCTTTTATCCTACTACTTTTACCTACCGATACATTTTATTTAAGTACTAGGAATTTCTCGTGTGTCATGGGTGCGTTTAAAAACATATAACTTCGCATACCTACACAATCTATAATCTAAATCAATAAGGTGCCGCGCAATCAGCCTGGTCCCAGAGAAGGAACAGGTTACAGTCAGTATGAATCTGACACCCACTCGCCCCGCAGATGGCGAGATGCGATTATTCCCAAATTATAGATGGAGTTGGTGCCATAAATATGACATTCTCTCACAGTCAACCTTATAAATTGGTATTTATTAATTTAAATAAGTAATATTCGCACAATTGTTGCACAATGATGGTTTTTACTGCCAGTCTACCTTAGGTTGATACAGAGACAGGTCATGGTAAGTGCAACAGCTAGAAGAGAAAGAGGTCATAATCAACACAAATAGAATAATTAAGTAAGTATTCATATGTAGATATACAATGATATACTGTGTATGGCCGACTAAATATATCGTAAATGCATATATGTAAGTAGATATTTATATATAAATATCTGTGTGTATAATATAATATAGAATATGTTCCTATGTAGTCTTGTAAGACAATCAGTTTGAATATGTTTAGACACCACATCGGACCCTAACGACTACGGCTACCTCCTGCATCCGTACACCAAGGATTTGAATGAGACATATTATGTGGTGTACGACTGGAGAGATGTTCTCGACGAGTTCGCTCAAAATGAATCAAAGATCATGATGACGGAGGCCTACACTGACATGGACCTGATGATGCGCTACTACGGAGAAGGATCCCGCGACGGATCCATTCCATTCAACTTCATCTTCCTTGGAGAACTGAACGGACAGTCAACTGCCAATAACATGCAAACTGTCATCGAAAAGTGGCTGTCGAATATGCCATCAGGAAAGATCGCTAACTGGGTGGTGAGTTTTTGTGGGATTCTAAATACATAAATAGAGAGTCGACTATATTCATTATCAAATTTTTCATTTCTATATATATTATACCTACTAAGATATTTTTGTCGTTGTCGCAAGTTTATGTTTTCTGTTCCTGCAACTTTTACACTAAAACTAGGATTCCAATGTTTTGAGTTCTTGTACTTATAAATAACTGTAATTTTGCTACCTTTAAAAATTTAATATAAAAAAATGCGAGAATAACAAGCTGGATGATACTACATTTTCGTTTGCAGAATGGCAACCACGACAACACCCGAATGGCTTCAAAACACGGCGTGAAGAGAGTGGATGCTATGAACATGCTGGCCCTCATTCTCCCAGGAGTCACCATCACATACCAGGTGAGTACTTCTATACTCCTTCAGTCAACCAGACTAACTAACAAATTCAAAGAGTTTTGGTCCCTAATTGTTACGTGTAGTGGGCGCTAGTGAGTCATAAAACCTTAAAGGGCTAGTTTCATTATTTAGGTACTATCTGCCAAAATATAAAGCAAGCATATATCTAGATTTCGACTAATTTGAATGTCTAATTATTAAATAATGTAAGTATGTATATTTCATTTATGTATTTGTCAGTTTATTACCTTAACACACAATACATATCAGTTTAAAACACTAAACAATTTGTTACATTGTTAGGGCGAAGAGCTTGGAATGACAGACGGAAACATTAGCTGGGTGGACACGAAGGACCCCCAAGCGTGCAACACGGAGGACCCCATCAACTACTGGAAGAGCAGCCGAGACCCCGCGCGGACCCCCTTCCACTGGGACGCGACCGCCAACGCGGGCTTCTCCACCGCCAGCTCCACCTGGCTGCCTGTCGCCGACAACTACAAGACTGTCAACGTCGCCGTCGAGAAGGCGGCCACTAAGAGTCACTACAAGGCAAGTTGCCTAGTCTAATATACATAAGTATAACAAGATATTTCAAGTCCACGAACATAAAACACTTTTATTGCTGTGACTGGTTGAATGACGATTTTGAAAATGTTTTAACTTTGTTAACAGTTCTACAAAGATGTGGTAGCCCTAAAACACAGCGCCGCAGTTGCCTCCGGTTCCTTGGGGACACACGCATTGTCCAGTGATGTGCTGGTCGTTACCAGGTACCCAATATTTATTTCAATTTTTATTTTACATTTATAATAAGCTATCATTACTGTATACATGTACCTTCTAACCGCACTGTGAGCTTATGATAAGATACTAGTACTTTTAAACCTCGTAACAGCTACTGGGTCATATCTAGTTCAATTGTTTTGGTCTTGGTGTGGTAGCTACTGCTCATTTCTTTTGTTATTTTTAATGTTGGCCCCACTAAGGTTTTCTCGTGTCGTGGCGTGGGTGCATTTACAAACATACAAATCACACCCAGACCCGGAACAACAATTTGTGAATCACTTAAAGTATTCTTTCGTGCGGAAAATAGTGTAAAATTAGTCAGTAAAATTCTTAAAATTGTACAAATAAGTAGTACAGAATAATTATGTGACTTGTCAATCAACAAAATAGTTTTTCAATCATTTGTTCTCAACAGAGTCCCGACAAGTTCAAGTGACCCTACGGTCGTGGCGATATTGAACCTGGCGTCAAGTTCCACCACTTTGGACTTGTCTTCCATAGCCGGGGTGCCAGCGACTATGCGCGTCGTTGCGTCAGGTGTCGACTGCGCGCTCAATAAAGAGTAAGATTGCATACTTTTACAATAAAACAGTAATAGTAAATTTTAAAATAACAGTTAAATTATGTAATTTAGACTATTATGCCGTGTCAATGCGTCTTGTCGCCAACTAAAACAGCCGATTTTAGCGAACCGTTATCGCCCTTGTCGCAGACTGTTGATAAAGGAGCGTATGGCACGTAGCGTTCTGCGCGCGCCTCATAAGTAGAGTCAATGGACCACCACAGACGGGGCCCTATATGGCTGATGTTCAGCCGGGGTTGCGGGGTAGGCGTTATAAGGTACCGCGGCCTCGGCCTAAAGCAGGAGAATGAACGGGAGTGTTCAGTCAGTAGGAATCTAATACTCGCTCTAACTAGCAAAAGGCTGTTGATAAAGGACAAGGGCTAATGAAGTAAGGCCACGAGTCAATAATATAAATCTGGGCCAGTCATAATAAATTATCAGTTTTATACATATAATACATAACAATCTTTTTACAGTGTGCAAGTACAGAGAAACAGTGTGACCGTTTCTGGCAACTGCGCCATGGTACTACAGACCAACACTGATTCAGGTTCTGGAGGCAACGGAAACGGAACTGACACTGGTGGTAACGGAAACGGAACCACCCCTGGTGGCAGTGCCACAAGATTTACAGTCCCATTATTCTTGTATAGCATCATATCAGTAATTTTATTTCTACAGTAATTGAATAAATCACTCATGAAGCCTTTACTTGTGTTCTAGTAAAGTTTTATATTTTTTTGTCGATGTTGAAATTGTTTTTTATGAACCACCCTGACACATATAGAAAAATGTGTTCTATTATATATAAGGTTGTAAATGCTGATTTGCTAGAACACAGGTCCAAGCAAGACATTATTTGTACTGTGCCTTATACCATTGCACTTCAGTAATGAAGGATTATTTGGAAATAGTTACCCTTTCAAGCAGATTCTGAATAATTCTTTGTTCACTAAATGTACCTCTACTAATAACAGCAGGATGTCACAGAATATTTACAACTGAAATGGGCTGTCAATTATGAATATATTTTATTTATCTTTCATGTTATGTTACCTTCATAACATTTCCATCCAAATGATATCAATGTGTAAGTGGGAGAGTCCTACGTAAGTATAGATAAATTATAAATATATTGTAAATAGAAAATAAAATAAGGAATAACTTGTAAAGATTCCCACTTCACATACTCATCCGTTTTATTAATGTTTGTAATGAATTTAATTTATACTTTTGTTATTATTTATAAATAAATTTCTTGTGGTTGTCAATCTGAGTTTTTTTTCTTATGTAAAGTTTTCATCCTTGAAACAATGAAACGAAGATTATTTATGACTGAGCAACTGGCTGCCGCGCAACGTGTACAACTCTTTGTGTGATCCACAAATTGTTGTTTCGGATCTAGGGATCTGTGTTAGTGAAATTGTAATGTTTGTAAATGCACCCACAACACAGGAAAAAAGGTAAAGTAATAGTGTAGGGTAATGTTTCGTTAAAAAATTTTGCTGCAAGTAGGCTATAAAACAACACTCTTATATGTGAAATATACATAAAACTAAATGAAGTCAGCATTTCCTATCTAACTACTCTGAGCAGAAATACCGATACAAACTCAAAGGTCTACTTTGTTGGTTTACAGACTTACTGATGAAGAGAAAGTAAGTAAAGATTTGTTAAAGTCAAAGTTAAAACTATTTATTGCAGTAAAGATATGTAGGTACTTACCACTACTGTACGGCCGTTGTATCTTGGCGAGTCTGAAGTTAGCCGAGTAGCTGCACAGTACACAATTTTGTTCCTAAAAGATCCATTGCGCAGACAAACAGCTAACTTCAGACTCGCCAAGATACGTCAGCCGTACTGTATATACATTAATTAGTTAAGGTCTTGAACTATTTATATTGCTTAAACACCTACTTTATTTGCATTATGTCGAGTGAATATGAGTTCTTTATTAACTCTGAGTCTTTGTAGTTTTTTTTTAACACACTTTTTATGTTATAATGTAGGTTGGCTAACAAGCGTCCTAATAAGCGCAAGCAGTTACTACAGAGTTATAATAAATTTGAGGATTGAGGACGCTGGGAGAGATTGAAATCTGTAACATCACTCACACAGCAAAAAAGTTTTGTGTTAAATAAGTGTTGCTGCACACTGGCATTCGTTGAGGCCTTGGTATCACTCTGATCAAGCTGGCCCATTCATGCTGAAGCATCGCTCTCCACACTTGAAATAGGTATCTATTTTAGTGACTCTTGTGTTAAAGGCTAGAATTAAACCACAGTTTCACTTAACATATGTATAATTATTACAGTAGGTATAACTTACAATCAGAATTTAATACAAAAAGCTAGAAGTCCATTGCACCTTCTAAGAAACAGAGGCAGTCCACCTTGTTGATCACCAGATCTAGATCTTTCTTAGCAATAATTTTTCTCTTATTTGTAGCAGTGTATGCATATGTTTCTTTTGCTATAGTTTCTAAAAACAGCTCCTGAAAGAAGCAATGTTTATTTTTAAGATAGATTTACATGGAAAGGATAACAAATGAATGTGTTAAAAGTATTCTAGGTAATGAAGAAATTAAAACATCTCTTACAAGTAAGTAACAAAAGAGATTAAAGCAATATGTCATCATGAAAGTAGTAATGTATAAAACTATGGTAAAGGTGAAAGTAAGAGCATACTTTGTCATTACAATATTAAGTATTTAAAACTTACTGTAGCTTTTGTTACTAAGAACACAGCATCCCCTGATACAACGCTAACGTCAGGATCCATTTTCATTATATTCTTGATCCTAGCTATCGGCAACCTTGTGGAACGAATAGCCTCACTCTTGTTATGTTGTGGAAGCTTTTTACCCTCTGTAATTTGCTCCTCAGAACTAAGTAACTCTGAGTCCTGTATCGTGTTTATATGTTCAGAGTCTGTCGCTTCCAACTCGGCGTGCTGATGGTCTGCTTCAAGATAATGGTCGGACTCGTCAATTACATCCGATATGTCAACATCATCGTAATGATCCTCATCTGCCATTTCTTGATTTTATTATAATAAAAAATAACACCCAAATAAATGTTTGGAAAAATTGGCGCGATGTTTTCGGTCACTAATCTGACAAAATGACAAATTCAAATAGGTACTAATTTTTGTCAATGTCAAATTCAACCTGACATAATTTCGTTTAGAAATTGAAACTAGGTCTATTTGAATTGTTACTCAGAGGAATTGAATCTACAAAAATCTAGAAACTTATAAATATACACAAAACCTCTATCATACAACGAAAAAAATAATACTAAACCTATTTAAACAGGTGAAATAAAATAAATAATAAATTCAACAAGATACATTAGTCTGCAAGTTCCTCATCAATGTCAGCTGTATTAAAATTTTAGTTAAAGCAATTTACTAAACTCAGAGCTCGCAAAGAAGGAGGCGGACTGCGTGAGGAAGGTATCCTCTTCCTCACTCCCCAGCCGCCGCAGTAGGCGACACCCCGGGCGTAGGGGATCAAGAGCGCGCACCGTAAAGCCCGGTTTCCACCGTGAGCGGAACGGGCCCCCTTAATGACTTCGTTAAACTCGCAAACTGCATACTTGTATTTCCACCAACAAATAGTCGGACGGAAAGAGACGAGCGTGCAGAAAGAGTAGAAATGATTTTTCTATTTCAGTTTCATTTTGCAGTGGAAATCAAATGACCATCTCTTCGTTGGTGGAAACGCAAACCTCTTTCATTAAAAAGGAGTCCGTTCCGCCTAACCATTTTCCGCACATTACCCTTTCGCAGTGGAAACCGGGCTTAAGCGCAGGTCGACGGACGGCGAGTAAGGTTAGCTCGTACGAGCGTACGGCGCGTAGCGTTCAAAGAGCCAATAAACCACCACAGACGGGGCCCTATAGGGCTGATGTTTAGCCGAGGTTGCGGAGCAAGCGTAATGAGGCACTGCGGAATTAGCCTAGAGCAGGAGAAGAAACGGGGAGGTTTTTAGTCAGTAAGAATCTAACACTTCCTCTCGCCTCACACTGTGCAGGATCATTTGATTTTCCCCTGACAAAAAATAATCCCTGACTTCCCTCAACTTAAAGGTCGACAATATCGCGTGATACCTAATCCAAACTTTGACCATGTAACAATCACACTAACTGAAATTCAATACCTGGGACACCTGCATTGATGGTTCGATAATAATATTTACTTTATTGTATTATCGCAATGCGAATCAGCGTGACCTTTTTAAAATAACAGTGTTGTGAATGCATTTACAAAATATTTGCATTCGAAGAGATATAAGCAACCGGCATTGTTCCTACGAGTGATTATTCTCGACACAACCGTGACTAAAGGTAGGTAGAGCTTAAAATAATATAAATATTTTGTAAATACGTACTTTTGATGACTGCGTTGTGTTACTTAGTATTCTTAAGTTAAAAATGTTTAATTAATCTCAATATTTAAAAAGAATTCGGCATCCTATTCATAACAGCACCGAAAATTGTTATCTTATACTACCCACTAATTACACAATAGAGAACAGTAATCAGCATAGATTTTTTATGTGATAGGTCGGCAAATAAGAAAACTGAAAGAGGTCGTATATCACTCCGGTCGAGCCGAACCATTCGTGCCAAAGCATGGATTTCCCACATTTAAGCTTTATGTGTAGATGTTTGTTTTTATCTTAATGTTATAAGTAGACGATTCCTCAGAAAACCTAACTTACTTACTTTTTAATAATGACAGGTACCTAATCCTTTAATCTGTGAATTGCTTCGTATTTTAAGATTTAGTGGCAAAATGCGAAAGATACTGTTGCTAGTATTAGCAACAGCCGCGGCAGTATCAGGTGTGGATGAGTGGTGGCGTTCCGCTGTCATCTACCAAATATATCCACGATCCTTCAAGGACAGCAATGGAGACGGAATCGGAGACATAAACGGTGAGTAAAATAATTTATTCCTTGAGGGTGTATCATCATTTTTTGGGCATGATGTTACTGGTTGACCAGCAGTTATATCAAGGGTTTATTATAATCTATATACCTAATAAACATTGCCCCTAATATACTAATTATGATAAATAAAGTATAGGAATAAGGAAATCGTGTCTAATAGCTTATTATTCTACAAACAAGAATAGCTTATGCTTTCCACATGCAAAAAAAACTGAACCTAATTTTTGCCAGGTTCTATATTTTTTGCATATCTAAGGTATTGTACTTACAACATGAGAACCTTTGCCATAATAACTGATAGAACTCACAGAGACCAAACAGCAGCAGTATTTTAAACGTCTCAGATAAACTAGATAGACTGGTAGATAATGCCAAGGGCATTAAGTCCACCTATGTGCGGACGGACATATGTGTATGAAGCTTTTAAGTTAATAAACAAACCTGAACCTTTTAAATTATCTCTGATCTCCAACCCATTTAGGTACATAAAGTGGAAGGCATAGTCTATGATGTTGCAGTAGAAAGGTCCATCGCTATACCATGGGGCGTCTAATGTAAGTTATTTGCCTACAGGTATAACTTCAAAACTTCCATATCTGAAGGATACCGGAGTGGACGCAATATGGTTGTCCCCAATATTTCTATCGCCAATGTTTGACTTTGGTTACGACATTACAGACTACAAGAAAATAGCTCCGGAGTATGGAACTATGGAAGACTTCGACAAACTAATGGCAGAGGCTAAAAAACTAGGTAAGCAACTGAACTGACTAACAATAACTCGCTTCCTACCTGCCCATCTGAAGGTAGGTATTCCGATATTCAGCAATAGATATCTTGGCTGATATGACGAATTAAGTTAAATGTCTACGCATTTTTCAAAATTGGCTAAAAGTTATTCACCGTGATTGGATTCGATGGGCTAAAGACACAAGACTAAAGCGCGTGACATGATATTTTGTTGGATATATTATGTACTATTTAAATTGAAATCAAAACTTGACAAGTACCAATGCGACTTTTTCCGGGGTAGGTATATGTACACTTTCTATAATTAGTTAGACACCATTGACATACCTATACTTAGTAAAGGAAAATATCGTGAGGAAATCTGGACTTATAATTTCCAATTATAAGTTAGAAATCGCCAACCTGCCTTGAGCAAGCATAGTGATTATTGCTCAAACATAATCCGTGTGAGAAACTCAACCGCGGGCACTTCTAGGCTGATAGGTAGGTAGGTACTATACAAATATCCAGCACATGGAATCTATACGGAAACGGGCTACTTGATGATGATGCCTAAAATCACTACTCATCAGAAAATTTTAGCTATAGGGACATGAAAACTTTAAAACATTATTGTTAGGCATAGTTTTTGCTTATTAAGTACGCACTTATAAACTACTTACAATTACATTGTTCATCCAAAGAACGTAAACTGGACATGATAACTACGTGTGATACGATCTCAGCGACAAACGGACAAATTATGGCGACTTCCGCTGTTTGTGAAGTGTAATGTTGGTAAACGTTTATAACAATTGAAAGACGAGAAAAGGAATCAACTCGATTCATTGTAATATGTAAAACAGATTATACGTAAGTTTAACATTGTTTTTATAATAACTATCGTGAGACATACTAAATTAACTAAAAAGCCTACTATAAGGCTGCGCGACGTCGCCGCGTCCGCGCACGCTGCTCATGAGGAAGAACCCTTCTATGGTTCGAAACTAGTAGAGCTTTTCTCAATACATATATGCACGTGAGTAACCCGCGATTTTTAGTTAAGTTTAACATTGTTATTCTTAGGGTTATTCTCGCTGTGATGTTGATATATGTAGATATAGACAGAAGAAAGTACAAGCCATGTGATTAGATTTATAGAAAACTAGGTACTCCCAGCGAATTTGTTCCACTAAGTATAGAATATTTATCTCTGTTCTAATTTTCATCAAAATCCATTCTGATGTAGATGGTACCTACCACCAGCATAATGGACGGAGCCGAATACAGATTCTTAAATATGTCACCGGTATTCTGAAGTTATAAAGAGAATTGTTAAATAATCGATAATCGACAGAATGTCGCGCACTATGTCCATTCCCTTCGAGCTTCCGTTAATCTAGTTTCGGATAAACTTCATTCGTCATAATGACTCTCATGACAGATTTCAAAGATTGATTCGAAACAACAAACATGGCAAATTTCACATCTTAATATATATATAATTCTGTTGTACGTGTGTATGTCATTGAACTGCTTCTGAACCGCTTGACCGATTTAAATGTTTTTTTTCTGTATGAGTTAGAGTGGCACCCTGGGTGGTTTAGATTTATGCCGGCTTGCATGGGATCTCGGAAACGGTCCTAACGATTTCGATGAAATTTGATATGTGGGGGTTTTCGGGGAGGGTCCGCTAGTTATCTATAAGTTTTTGTGAATAGTGACTATGTCTGTTTCTCGTAACTCTTTGTCTTCAGGACTCCGTGTGATATTAGACTACGTGATAAACCACACGAGCAACGAAAGCGAATGGTTCATCAAATCTGCACAGAATGACCCGAATTACGCAGACTATTATGTTTGGGCCCATGGAAAACCAGACCCGAAGAATCCGGACTATTTGGGCCCTCCCAACAACTGGGTGAGTATTGGCGGTTCGGGTAGAAAAGTAAACAGCAACAACGTAGGAGTTACAAGTGCTTTTTGGGGATACATCTAGTGACTGGGGAGGGACTAGGGAAGCCTCCGGTAATCTCAGTTTCACGCGGATTTTCTGTGAGGCCGTTTTATCACTTCGGTCGAGCTAACCCATTCGTGTCGAAGCATGGCTCTTCCACACTTTACTCGTTATAAAGCAGTCTAGTCAACTTCTATGTTGATTATTCAAATTTATCATCATTTACTTTAATGCTTAGTTTTCCAAGGCTCCGTAAAACATTTTTGCTTCTCAAAAACCTTTCAAATTGCTTTCAGGTGAGCGTTTTCCGCAAAAGTGCTTGGGAGTACAATACTGAGCGAGGTCAATATTACTTGCACCAGTTCGCCGTTGCACAACCTGACCTGAACTTCCGAAATGCGAAAGTGGTCGAAGAAATGAAGGTATCAAAGTATTACCCCTTATATTTAAAGTTTGACCTCTTCGTCGGGAATTCTTAGATAAATGCTTCGGTCCTAATACGCCTAGCCATGCTTAATTTTCCATAGGTATAGGGTGCTTAAAAGTTTAAACTTCGAACAAAAATACTTTTATCGTTGAGGTTTATCACCTCATAATAATAAGTTAGCACGCCTTAACAATAATATTTTAAGACTTAAACTTAGTAATAATATCGATACAGGATGTTCTACGTTTCTGGCTGGATAAAGGAGTTTCTGGAATCCGTATCGATGCTGTCAACCATTTGTTTGAAGTGGACCCTGCGAACTATGACGGACATTATCCTGACGAGCCACTCTCAGGTCAGTTCATTTTACGTAATTAGCTAGGTACTTAACCCCTACCTATCCCAACATATGGCCTAGCATGTACCTACCTATATAATTATAGTCTTATATTGGGTACTAGCTACTCTCTCGCGGTTTCACCCGCTGCTCGGCTCCATTTAATCGTAGCGTGATGTTTTATAGCCTATAGCACTCAGGAATATTGTAGCTATCTATCAGTGAAAGAATTTTGGAAATCCGACCAGGCAGCGGTTCCAAATATTACCCCCTACATACAAACTTACAAACTTACAAATTTAAAAGACATACTAAATTTATTGCAAACAACGACTTACGTGAATTAAATGAGAAAAGCTCTACTAGTTTCAATTCACAGCGGGACTCTTATTATCAGTTGGCTGCGCAACGTCACCGCGACGCGCACGCTGCTCATGAATCCCTGAATCATGAATGTCTGAAATTCTCTATAAACCGCAGGTCAATTGAGCGCCGAACGACTTAAACATGTCAATCGCCTCAATAAAAGCAAACTAGCACTGGCCACTAGGCCTTTTAATAACATGAAAAGTTTATTTTTGTCTTGTTTGCCAGGCGCGGCTGGAGCTACACCAGAAGACTACGGCTACCTGAACCACATTTACACAAAAGACCAGAACGAAACTTATGACATAGTTTACGATTTGAAAGTAATTCTTGACCAGTACACTGAAAAACAAAATGATTCCAAGGTCATGCTAACTGAGGCCTATGCAGATTTGCCACGGATCATGCGATACTATGGTGACAAGAACCGAAATGGATCCGTTCCTTTCAACTTCTTCTACCTTACGGAATTGAATAATAAGTCTAATGCAAGAGACATAAAGATGACTATTGATAAGTGGATGACACATATGCCTACTGGGAAGGTTGCTAACTGGGTGGTAGGTATTAAACAGTTTTTTTTTATGTGATAGGTACGTATTACCTGGTCGTAAGGAATCAGCGCCGCCCATAAACACCAGCAACAACAGAAGTGTTCTGAGTGCGTAGCCGATCGTTTGGGGATTAGGGATTTGGGGGAAATATTGGACTTCCCGAACCTCACTCACACAGCAAAAGGCAACGCAGTGATTGTTTCAAGCCGGTTTTGTCATTCCGGTTGAGGAGACCCAGATCGCTTTAAAACCAAAACAAATGCGGGAATTCGTTTGTCACGGATCACATCGATGACATGCAGAAATCTACATACATATTTTGTTTAGTTTGTAAAGCGATTAAATTATTTAGTTTAGTTATTGCTACGAGCTTAGCATTTTTTCATAGATAAATTCTCAATTTTTAGACTTTAAAATATCGTTTTGACGAATTGTTTCACAAGGAAACGTAAACTTCGCTCAATAAAATCTGTCGTTTAATTTAGTAAATTTGAAATATGTAGGTTCTTCTTACACTAATTTTATTTTACAGAATGGCAATCATGACCAGAGTCGTTTGGCTTCAAAATTCGGTGTTGACAGAGTTGATATTATGAACATGCTGGCTCTCATACTGCCAGGGATCACCGTTACTTATCAGGTAATTCAAATCTGAACAGACCATCTGGGCAAGATCCTGCTTAGAGGTTCTCGTAAAAGTTTATTTTAACTTACTTTGCTTTTTCCCATCTTCTTTCAATCTTTATATTATATACTTAATATTATAAAGCTGAAGAATTTGTTTGTTTGAACGCTCTAATCTCAAGAACTACTGGTTCAAATTGAAAAAATATTTTTGTGTTTTCCATTTGTCCACTAATAAAATATATCCAATTATAAACTTTCAATTCCCAGGGTGAAGAGCTTGGTATGACTGACGGTCATGTAAGCTGGGAAGACACAAAGGACCCCCAGGCTTGCAACACAGAGGACCCCATCCACTACTGGAAGAGCAGCCGAGACCCCGCGCGGACCCCCTTCCACTGGGACGCGACCGCCAACGCGGGCTTCTCCACTGCGAGCTCCACCTGGCTGCCTATCGCCGACAACTACAAAACTGTCAACGTCGCTGTCGAGAAGGCGGCCACTAAGAGTCACTACAAGGTTAACATTTTTAGCAAATTTATCTACTTATATCTACTAATATTATAAAGTGGTATTTGTAATCCGTAAGTTTGCATGTAGGGGGTAATATTTGGCCTTTTTTTGTGAAGGGAAACTCATCAAATGATTTCTGGCGAGAGGGAGTGTCAGACTCTTACTGGCTAAAAACCCCCCTGTTCCCTCTCCTCCTCTGGGCCGAGGTCGCGGTGCCTCATTGCGCTTACGTCGCAACCCCGGCTGAACATCAGTCCTATAGGGCCCCGTCTGTGGTAGTCTATTGGCTCTTTGAGGCGCGCGCGGAACACTACGCGCCGTACGCTCGGGCCTGCGGGCCTGGTCGGGCGGCGAGCTGCCCTTACTCGCCGACCGCAGACCCGCGCTTACGGTGGCCGGAGATCATCTCTCGAATATTTGGCCATGATATTCGGATTTCTAAAATTCTTTAACTTATTGATAGCTACAATGTTCCTAAAAACAATAAATAAAACATCACGCTACGACCAATACGCAGAGCAGCGGGTGAAACCGCGCAGCAGTAGCTAGTACTTAATAATAAAGAACTCGTAGACGTATGACGTGCAATGCCTCCAGTTTGCTTTAAAAGCAAACTGAAAGATGTTGTAGGAATTTATCAGTGGGTCGAAGTGAGTGGTTGTGCGACTTTGACGAACAAGACAACAGGGGAGATATTTCTTCAGCAGGACAGGTCTTCCAACTGGTAATTATACTTACTCCTTACTCCATATACATGTCATAATAATCCATCACGTTTCTAGTTCTACAAGGAAGTTGTTGCTACGAAGCGTTTGCCAGCTGTCCGCTCCGGGGATCTAGAAGTGCGCGCTCTCTGTGACAACGTTGTAGCTGTTGCTAGGTAAATATGAAACAAAAATAAATACGTTTTAAGACACTTTTATTTATTTATTTTGGTATAGTAGTTTATTGCACACATCATCACAAATCTACAAAGAGCAGGCTTATAATGACATGGTGTAAGTACAATGGGCGGTATTGTCACACTATAGGTCCATTTTTATTGTATGTCAAGTTGCTGAAAGACCGACTTGCAAAAAGCCAGACATCATTTTAGATTATCGTATCACCAATAACTCGTCTTGTCGTAAGTCTAAGAACACAATCTCCATTTACAACATAGTATAATCACGCGACGACGACGAAAAATAATAAAATTATTTAAATACCTTGGTAGGCTGGTGCAACCAAGTCGAAACGTCAAACCCGCGTAATTATATGTTGTATATAAAATTTAAACGCGACAGTTTAAACGTAAGTATAGTCTCCATTTAGTTTAGAATTTAAAAAAGTTTTTTCATGTCTATGCTTTTAATTGTTGTTTCGATCACGAATGTTAAACCTTGAGTAATAAGGACTTTGGAACTCCAAACCCATTTACACATTTCCAGGTTCCTGCCCGGCCACCCTGCAGTGGTTGGTGTCATCAATCTGTCTGACGCTGAGGTCCCGGTAGATCTCAACTCTCTTCAGCTGCTACCACGTGATCTACAAGTGGAAGCATCCGGAGTTTACTGCAAGCTGGAGAAAGGGTAAGATGACGTCACGACGTTCCTTTTTTATTAGGTATAATTGGGTAGTTTTCTAGGTCAAAAATAAATTAATTCGATGTTTCAATACAATACAATATTGAAAAATAACTACCTATAACTACTTATAATCATCGATCTGTCAGATTTTTTGCTTATTTTTAAGAAATAAGTATAAACTACTATGACGTCATTATTTGGAGTTTCATACAATTTTCAAAAGTATCGTTTTTGACATTTGGATAAAAGCATTAATATGACTTGCTGGAAACTACGATAGCGGACATGGTCGTCTGTTCTTTGTTTTTCAATAGTTGAAACTGTAAATGCTATTCGATGACCATACAATGATAGAGGTAGGTAGGTATCATCGAGTTGGCTTAGTGTCGGATTTAGAAGGCGAAAAGCCAAAATCGTTAGATGTATTTTATTAAAGTTGATTTTCAAAATCCTTTCGGATCTCATGGTCTTGACTAACTATCGACCATTCTTTTACTGACTTCTTCTTTGACTTTCTACTTCATGACTAATATGGTTTTCGTTAAAATTGAAATCCAACGTTCTGATTTACCTAATCCTTAAAACTTTACTGAATTGTTTTTGCTGGATCACAATAATTTTAACTTTTCCCCCTTTTTCAGAGAAAAGCTTCAGAAGGGTCAAGTAACTATGTCTCCACACTGTGCCCTGGTCCTGTCTTCATCACAGAATTGCTGTTCAGCATCGATATGAATATCACGCCTAATAAAATATAGAAAATCTAAAGGCCACAAACGATTGTATTTGTATAAAAAGAAATTCGGAACAATATTGCCCCGCATGTAAAATTATACATAGATATAGGTACTTACATCGTCGCCTTAGAATGAAAATCTCTGGATTTGTCCAGTAGTTGTCATTTTCATTTAATTATGTTTGAAAATAATGCTTCGGTTCTTATTTTAAAATAGAATATACACAGTCGAAAAGATATAAAACTGAGTTAAATTTTATCGATATTTTGTACCTTTGTAGATAAGTATCAAAAATATATGCTGTTATTTAATATTGTTGTAGTTTTACTCTCTGATTATGAGATAAAGGTTCAAAAATGGTGCAACCTCCTGTCTGGACAAAAATCAATAAAATATTGGTACGATTTTTCCCTATTGAAACAACAGGTTTGCCTGTGCCTATAAAACTGGTTTACAAGCACAGACCCAGTACAGAAGAAACGGGGCGGGACATTCTATCACACCACTTAAGCCATTCATGGTTGATAATTTTAAACCGAATCGAAAGTCAAAACACATTTATTTCAACTAAACCAGCAAGGAAGGACTGACGGCCGATGGTTCAGAAAACTGCTCGAATAGCGACCACGGACCGGAAAACGTAGCGTGAGCAGACCTTGCTAGGTGGACCGACGACCGCGTCAGAGTCGCGTGCAACCAGTGGATGCGAGGGGCGAGTTGTCGTTCGGCGTGGAGAACTAAAGGGGAGGCCTTTGTCCAGCTGTGGAAATATTCCTACAGTTACTTTTGGATTGCCAAAATAGAATAATAGTCCGTCACGTTTGTTCTTCAGTGATACTAGGTGTTCGTTCTAAATTTCTAAAGTGTAGACTTGAATGGAGAAGAACTAGAAAGAAACTCCATCATTACCTATTCTTTTGAAAAATATAATAATATGTTTTACAAGCTCGCCAATCTGTGGTGGTAGTGACCCTTAGAGACGCGTGGTATGATCCAGGTTTCTGCCGTCGGGAGATCCGCGCTTACATTGGCCGCAGAACATAGCACGCTTCCCGAACGTTCAGAAAGTTTGCAGCGGTGGTTGGGGCGTGAGGAGGATAGTTCGTAGCTTGAGGAAGCAGAGCGCTTAGGAGAACGATTCAACCCTAACGACTAGCTACTCCCGCGCGGTTTCACCCGCTGCTCAGCTCCATTTGATCGTACCGTGATGTTTTATAGCCTATAGCTCTCAGAAACATTGTAGCTATCTATCTGTGAAAGATTTTAGGCAATCCGACTAGCAATTCCAAAGATTACCCCCTACAAACCAACTTTTATAATATTAGTATAGATTACCCCCATTAAACGCAGAAGGCTGGCAAAAGAGTATTTTGATGATTCATGAAACGGAGCTAGAGTTCCAAATAACTATAGGCACTATCGGAAAAGCAATTATTAGACTAACGTAACTCTGTGGGTGAAAAATTAAAGGGCCTCCATGGCCCTCTAATTTTTTATGCTTAATCACCTCATTTTAGCCTATAGCGGGTGTAACTCAAAAGCAGTGCGTTTTATACTTAACATTAGAGTAGAAGTAGGAATGCAATCTATCTACTTATATTATTATATTATTGTAATAAAACTGAGTTGAACGATTACTTGTGTTTGATATACAATTTATTGGGGAATGCAGTACCTATGTAAAACACGAGTAATTAGTAAGAAATAAAACACAATAATTTAATTATAATAAAATATTATTATATCAGTTCGTGTTGAGTATCAAAACAACATTAATTAAAATAATTATCCAATATATACACCTATAACACTTAAAATTACATTTTTTATTATTACTGTACAACAATTTATCATTAGAAGGTCTTAAATGAATGGCTGAGACATTTAAAGCGTAGTTCATTTTCATGTTTCTTTCTCGCTCTGGTCCTTTTAATGTGATAATGTGTGATAGAGATAGCTACATTGCTTTATCACTTCGAATGACGTATGATTGTAGTCATAAGTTAAAGACAATCCCCCTTATTACAAAACGGAATTTATCTTCAGTCCAGGTTTAAATCATTGAGTCAGGATTTGTATTTTGAATCTTATTCTCACCTGCTTTTAATTTGAAATACAAAAACTGGCTTCAATAGTCCAGACCTAGACTAAAGAGAAACCTTGTTTTGTAATAAAACCGAATGTCCCCAAAAGCGCTCAAGACGCCATCTACCGAAAGCTAAATTGGTGTAGCTGTAACATACTTCAAATTACGAACACCATCTTTTTATTAATCTTCTCAGCCATTAAGAAGGGCCCGTTACGCTTGATCCTGATCATTGCGCATTTTTTATTCTTGAATTTCATTTGTAATCCATTTTATTATAAAAAACAATAAGTTCAGCACCTCGTTTAAACCAGAAAATTCAAATAAAAATTACAATTATTTATGTACAGGAAGCTTAGAATAGAAAATAATATCATTTATTTCTTCCAATCTGTCTTTACTCAATGGATTTCAAACTTTATTACAAAACAATAAAGACATTTTTTTATGAAATCTGTCAGATTGGGTAACTTAATGTTCTGGGTTAGTTTGTGACATATGCAATTGGTATTATGTTGAAAACTTATATATTTGGTACCTTCATTATATATAGGTATATATATTGATAACGGTCAAACTACTACCATTGTCAATATTAAGTATTTAAACAGTTTGGGAATGGACTGTTATTAAATTAATTTGGTCCAGGTTTAAACAACGGACTATGTGTAGCAGGTACTAATTTAGGACCACGTTTTATAATAAAATGGATAGTTCCTCCGAATCAAAGCTAATTGAGGCAATTCAGAATTGTAGTTCTTTTTAAAAATCCTCATTTCATAGACTTCAGGGTATTTACGGCTCTATTCCTTTAGTATTAAGTATAAGATCCTATCAGATGTTTCCATTTGCAATTGAATCTTTTTGCAAGTCTTTATTATAGTTATAGAAATATCTTTGAGTAATAAGACTGAAGAAACAAGAGAATATAATTTTGTTACCAGATTATGAATATTCAAAATACAACTTCATTAATACAAGTTTATGTTTAGTACCTATAGGTATTAACAAAAGTCAAAGTAACAAGACCAAAAATAATACAAATTGTCTCTTTGAATCCATATTATTCTTATAGAATTTAATATTAGGCGCCTGGCACATTCTTAAGAGCAACAAACATCGATGTGACAATGCTAATACATTTCTAAAGGCACTCCGAACAGGAACACAAGTCGAAAAAATAGTAAAGCTTATAAGTTTTCTTTCGCAGTGAAAATTTCTAACAGTGATAACACAGACAGAACATTTAAAGCTTGCTAGTATCCAATAAATGATTATTTATTATCTATCTACAAAAGATAACGAAGTTTTAAACTGGTCCGTCTCTTTCCCAACAATTTCTATACAGTACTACTGTACACAACAATTACCAAATAGGCATTCACAAAATAGTCCATTTTTATCTAAAATAATATATTTTAACTTAGACAGAATAGTTTCTTCCAAAAAGGTTTTTTGCCGTGTCTAATTGGCAGGCCTGCCAAAATGGCGGCGTCGAAAGCGTCCTTCAACTGTTTTCTAGTTTTAGATGAGGTTTCTATGTAGACTGCGTCGATCTTGGCTGCTAGTGCCTTCGCCTCCAGTTCCGTAACAACATGCTCGCCTCGATTCTGAAATATAAAATTATTCTAGTTAGTTGTGTATAGGTATGTGTTGTAAGTAATTTTGTAAGTATTAAGTGCTAGGTAACTAGCGTAAAACATTTTTTAATTAGCTAAGCTTTTTATCATACAATTGGACTGAAAAAGGTGCCTTTGACTACTTTTTATGTCCTGAGTGCATTCGTTAATATTTATTTTACGATGCGAAATCACGATTTTAACGAATCCCCTTTGGCTAGCCTGGAAACCCATAGAATAAGAGTATAATTCGGCAATTCGCCTTCCGGCAATCCACAATTTCCTCCCCGCCTCGCTCCGAAAGATCCGAAATCCTTAATCCGAAAAAGACTGACAACGCACTCGCAAAGAACTTCTCTGGCGTAGCGGGTGTCTATGGGTGGCGTCGATTGCTTACCATCAGCCAACCCGTCTGCTCGTTTGCCGAATTATCAGATCACATAAATGAATAAAATAAATATTCACCCTCAAAGTCTGTATAACTCTAGAGTCTTGCGCGAGGTCGCTCTGCGTTCCGACGAGTATGAGCGGCGCGTTCACGTTAGCCACAGCTTTGGTCCACCTCTCGGCGACAGACCTGAAGGTCTCCGGCCTCACCACAGAGAAGCACAGCATCAGCACATCAGTCCCAGGGTAACAGAGCTCTCGGAGCTCGGACATTGAATCCTGAAATTTAAAAAAATACGTTTTACTTATTTATTTATTAAACCCCAAGCGAGCGGCGTTCGCACACAGTGTTCTTCTATAATGTCTCAAATTAACGCGATTGAAAGGGTTAACTCTATTTGGCCCTTATAGAGATAAAGCTAAAACTTATCACTAGCTCATACCCATAGATATTACAGTTTTTGTCTAAAACAATATCAAATTCAAATGTCTCAAAACAAACTAAATAATATATTTTACGGTCATTACGATTAACTAAGCGATATATTCTCTATAGAACTCGAGTTATTGACATTATGTACGAATGTACATATACTTATTATATGTTTTAGTCATTCAATTAACAGCCTTGCCTGTGTACACTGTACCATTCTGGCGGCTGTTTATTTCTGAAGGCGATTCGGTTTCTGTGCGGTTCACAATTCTAATCTAACATCACCCACTATTCAGGTAGCAACTCGGTTTTCATGGCAATCGCTTTACTCTCCAAGTAACAACCTGAATAAGAAATTTATCCATGTAATCAAACGACTTGGCTAGGTAAGGTAGGAAACGGCCTCGGCCTGGAGCAGTAGAAGGAGCCTCTCCTGCCCCAAGCTAATCTGTAAAAAGTCTCGCCATGCCAAAAAAAGAGTTAAGTAGGTACTCATATGTTCATAAAACATCACTACATAATGACAAAAACCGATCAGAATATAATATTATTTTTCTCATTTATTTCGGCTGTTAGAGTAGATTACAATGACCAATCTTTGATCCACGATTGTATCACTATCATAAACAACTATCATGATCCCTTAAGACCGGAGTAAAAAATGACGTTATAATGACTTCTTGGTATTCAGTGACGTTACAGATTAAATCATAATTACGATCTCTACACGGATAAATAAGACTACGTAAGGCGAGATATTCAAAATAAGTTTTTTGATCACGAAACGACTTCAAAAAAGGGATAACTTGACTTATCATTACCATAACGGTGCAACCGGACCATACCACGTCTCGTGTAGGGTCAACGAACAGAACATTTGATAAGTAACTGTACCTTCGACGTAATTGTTCTGACCGACTAATTAAGAATGATAACACAATCGAGTCTCGGAACATTTGGAACGAATTGATTTGCGCGGAAGAAATAATTAGAAAAGCGTTTTGTTTATTCTTTTCCGATCTGTTACAAACTGAATACTGGCTGGTGGAGCGACCAAAAAGTTTGTATACGATATTTTATTATTGACAACACTAGATGTAATTATGGTATCCTACTATCCTACTAATATTAGGTTTAACTGTTAAAATTTGTGAGAATTAATTGTTTTATGTTTGGTATTCTCTTGCGCAAAAATGGCTGGACCGAAGTGTTTTGTTGAAGTTTGGTGATGATATCCAGGGTGGATTTACACATAGGCTGCTTTTTATCAACATACCAATTGCTTTGTTAAATAGAAAAAAATATACCTATGTACTTATACAAACTTTTTCTTTTTCCGATAGAACATTTTCCTTTTCAAATAAAACATAATATATACATATAGGTAGTGTATGTATGCCTACAAGACAATAAAATTGTTTAGTACATAAGTGTTAAGTTGCCAACCACCACGCCGTAGTAGAACCAGTGAAAGTATTGACAGCAACCATCAATTTGACGGTTACTCTGTGGTTACCGCGAATTGCGCAACCCTTTGTACAAAGATGGCGCCTTTTATAGTGAACTATGATTTGATATTGGGCTGATTGAATAGATTACATGTTGCCATCCACGGAACACCTATTTGGTCACGCTTCGATGAAATATTTTGTTGCATAATGGGCTTACTTGAGCTTGTAAGTTTCTTGCTAACTGAATGCAATCCAATTTATTTATTTTACACACATTTTAATGAAGCTTGGATCAAAATTATGAGTATACTTAGTCATTATTAATTGAAAATCGGTGGAAGAATAAGGAAACCTGGACTTCTTGTTTGAAATGGTGATGATGAGTAACAATTCTTACTTCTCCGTGTAAGAAGAGGCATATGCCTACCTATCCTAACAGTTAACAATAGCAGGCTGTTGATAGGATTTTGTTTCATAGTAAAAACGTCAACAGTCAAGAATTCCCGCTAAAAAAAGAGGTTATTACAATTGAATTCGCTCTAGGTACCAAGGTACATAATATGTAGTTGTATCTACATATTATTATGTGTACCTACGTAAGTATACATATATGCATGTTTATTCGTTTTCACTAATGCCCCTGAGGAGTTTCTCTAATTTATCATACAGTTATATTATTACGTACGTGCGCATTTCACATTTCACTTTCATTGTCATTCATAGTAGGGATCTCGTATCAATGAACCGACGACATTGAGAAAATTCGAAACAAAAGAATAATTTAATAAAAATTCCAACACTGTTTTGTATAAGCAATACAGTTGAAATACACAATATTAAAAAGAATATTACCTTGGTATATGCCTGTTTAAACAGATAATCCAGGTCCATAAACATCTAAACTTACGAGTAATATAAAAAAATCTTGTAAAACAAGTAAAAACTAATGAACTGTTTTTGTGCAGTTCTTACTAATACGAATTTACTTTCGTAAACGTTTGGGTGGTACAGACCCGAAACTAAGTATAATGCTTTTTGTAGAACGTTCAGGTATTAATTATTTACGCTGCAGATAATAAAATGTTTCTTTTGTTAGGCCTGATTTTTCAATAGTCAGATAAATGTTATTTAAGGAATAAAAGTGTTGCTGTCACTATCTTATACAAACATTCTGACGCGACAGCATCATAATTATTCCCCAGGTAACTTTTCTCCCATCTAACCGTTGAAAAATCAGCCCTTATACGATCAAAATAGAATAAAACGATTCAAAAAAATCTTAATATAAATCGATTGTCCGGCCGATTGCGTCAAGCACATGAGTATTGCATGCATATTGGCGATAAATTACTTTCGTCATACACTTTCTTCGTAAAAAAAAAATAATAAAAAAATAAAAGTGTATACTTAAGTAACATGTTCGGATTTCATGGAAGAGGACAGTGAATACATTAATTTTTCAATTGGAGTTCAATATTTCACGTGAGGTTCGCAGAATTGGCCGCATTGTGATTGTGAAGCGTCTGTCATGCAGGAATTGGTGCTCGTAAGAATCGTAAGTAATCAAATGTTCGAACACAATAGAAATGGCCGTACAATGTTGAATAATAACATAGGTATAAGTACTACAGGTATCTATATACATAAATGTCTCGCAAACCTAGGTTTGGATTGGAGTTCTCTGAAAAAAGAAGTTTCGCACTTTATAAACTAAAATTCTAGAACCGCAATGTGGATACCTTTACCCACGGAATATAAATTATTTTCTGTTCTGTGCCTTTACCTATCTAATTCTACGAGGCTGATTGCGTTTTCTCTTAAGATCCTCAATACACTTTGACACTTATTTGTAAGTAGATATTCTAATTACTAATGGTGGACAACTTTACTTTTTTTAGGGCATAGGGCTGAAAACAATCGGCACTGTGTATGAACATACGTCACCAAGGAGTTGCAAGTATGTTGCCGGCCTTTTGAAGGTTAAGAATTTGAAGATTGGTTCATTGGTGGAATGGCGGATGTAAGGTTTAGAACCTCACTCATACAGCGAAACAAAACGCAAGCGTTGTTTGACGCCGTGGTGCACTCCGGTCGAGCCGGGCACGTATGATTCCTTCAATAAATATTAGTAAGCGAGAATTTCTGATACTTAGCTTTCTACAATAAGTGTTACCCATTTTCTTAGTTTTTCCATACAACATACTTATAAGTTTCTTACTAGAGTTTTGGAACCAATTTTCATTGGAAAAAGTTGTTAGTAAACTAATTTTGTGTTGACTTGCGAGTTTGTTTGAATAGACATCCATGTTTACCTAAAGTATTTCAGTTAACAATACATATTTAAAAATTCTTTATCTACTTGTAAGTTAGTAAGGTATGAACGTTTCGTTTGTCACAAATTAAAAGAGGTTATGTCATCTATCACCTGTTTTATTGTTGTACACATGTGCACATCTACACTTAAACAATTTCTATAGAGAAACTGTGGGAATGCTCGTACCAAAGGCAGTGTGTCTATTGTCAATTGAATTGAATCCGGCCGGCGTAGGAAGTAATAGATTAATGCACGTGCTAGTTTTTTTCTTTTTTTGCATAATGCAACCTTTTTTGTAAAATAAATATGGCGCTACACCAGGTGATGATGGTCGTGAGAATGCCGCCATCTTGTTTGGCTTTTAAAACTGCAAATAAGGACGTGAAACGGATAGTTTCTAAGCTAAATAAAATAAGTAGAAGCTAAATAGTTCTGTCTGTCCGGAACGTGTGTTAATATGTATGGATAGTACTTATTTAAACATGACTCTCGTACAAGATTTGCAAATCTTAACATTTTTCACGTGATTGTGGTTGGTAAATGGTAATTGATAAATTAATGATAGTAGGTACCTATGTGATATTACTGATAATTCGAAATTATGTCACGGCTGTCGTATGCGATAAATACATAGAGAAGTCATGAAGAAACAAACGAATCGATTAGTACGAATAGAAATATTAGGTATATTTTAGTGGACACTTTACTACGTGGCTCATTTACTAGAGAACCGATGGCACTGACTGCTTCTTTATAAATAAGAATATTGCAGATACATACAGGAGAACATTCAAAAATAGTTTCTGTTGAGTATTTAGTTCGTATTAGGAATATATTTTAGTTCTGTGATATGGGTAGTTGGAAAATTTATGGTGCATTTTGGATTCGATGCGCTAGAGTTTGTTAAATGGTTGAGTGTTTCTCCTGGTTTAACTTAACAGAAAAACAATTGAATTTGCCCAAGAAAATACAATTTGAAATATTTCCATTCAAAGTAAAGTCTATGATTTTGGATAAGAAATAGGTAATGAAGGAATAATTGTCTCACCTGTCCAGCAGTATCACAGATTTCTACGCAGAGCGGTCGGTCGTCTACGTCAACCACAACTGAAACAAAATAAAAAGGTTGATTAGACCACTGTTTGCAAGATGTTCCAAGTTTAAAAAAGTCAACCATTCTGCCTATTGAAAGTCTACTATTGAACAATTAAATCTAGTAGCTGCACACAGCCGATCCAACAAAATATGGATGGTTTACTAGCCTGCTCAACGTAGAGAGAATGATGTGTGTAATAAATGTAAAGGATTTCCTGAAAAATCATACTACCGGAAAGGTACGCAATTGTTTGTTTCTGTTTAAGTGTGGGAGAGTCATGCTTTAGCACGAATGGGCGGGCTCGACCGGAGTGCGGCCTATAAGAAAACCGGCGGGAAGCAACACTTACGTTGTGTTTCGCCGTGTGAGTGAGGTTACCGGAGGCCCAATCCTACGCACACCCCATTCTCAATCCTCAAATCCTAAAATCCCTAATAACCCACAAGAGGCCGGCGCTGATTGCTTACCACCAGGTAATCCGTCTGCTTGTTTGTCGACCTATGACAAAAAAAGTACACATACCATAAATATGTAAAATGTCGTGGGATATTCAGTGTTAAAAAATGACAGAAAGTTTAAAATGGAAAGTTTTTTAAACCTATCTGAAAACGTTGTTTACATAGCAAGTGTTAAAAATTAACATTTGAGGCTTACTGAAAAAAAAAATTATTTAATACAAGTAAAAGTTAGTTCTGCGAGCACGTAAAAAATATTTTATTATTTTGGGCTGGCAATAAAACAGCTTGTTTAGTTTGCGTAACATTTTTGTACCTGGCAACATAATTCAATGAACTACGTTTACTTACGTTGTAGGTCGTTGTACAGCATTGTGAAACTTTAAAAGTACCTAATATTTTAAATGTCAATGCGAAACTGTGAACATTGTTTACAAGCTGCAAGCACAGCTTAGTTAGGTAACCAACTTGATTCTTGTATTTTATTCTAACAATAGAATTCTCTGAGTTGTTCTAAGTGCCGTAGGTACTAGTTTATACTTAAACACTTGACGGCTTAACATTTCTATTTAAATTACATGGTTTCAATTGACAAGAAGAAACGGACGTGTTTCATGCGTTGTAATTACGTTATCACAACTGTACTTAGGTATATTCAAAACACAATAAACAAAACATAATAACCGACTTATTTATTACTATAATTACATAAAAATTAATGTCTAAAACGAGCACCTAACAACAACACAAAACAGTCATAAAAGTATGAAGCACAAAGCAAAAAAAAGAACAATTAAAATAAAATACAATAATGTCAAACGGTGTATGATTTCTTTTTTTACAATGGCAACATTGTCGCGACACCCGATACGTCACGTCGCGTCACCCTCGTGCCGGATACGCGCGGTAAACAGCGAATGTCCGAACATCCTGGCTTTTGTTCACAAACCTGTATTACCGCATTTACCGCCATTCGCAATTACTGAGATTACTGGCCACTCACGCGGCCATGTTTTGTTTTGTAAAGTAGAACCTAATATTTTGTTATTGTTCGAATTTTAACGAGAGCCCGTGTTATAATTGTAGATACGTTTTACTAACTACTTTCGCACGGGTGCAATGCTCATACTAAATATCTCCACTATTTAATTGATGACCGTCCTATTCAATCATTTTCATCTATGAAAAAACGCATCAAAATCCGTTGTGTAGTTTTAAAGATTTAAGCATACACAGGGATATGCGTTGTTTCATGCCGGTTTTCCTGAACATTTTCATAACAGTTTAACAGCATCTACCTTTAGATAACACAGGATTAAGTTAACCGCAATAAAAGTAAGAATATTGTACCATAAAACTACAAATACCTCATAACTGGACGTAACATTAAAAAAGTCTATCAAAAAGGAGGTCACGAGACGGTAGTAAAAAAGAGAATAAAAAAGTGAAAAAAAAAAAGTTTGAAATCGAGAGCGTATCAGGCTGTGATGTAGTCCAAAGTCCAGATCGCTGAGTCACCATCACCGGAGCACCGGCCACAACCGTGACCGTGCCTCACGAAATCACGATCCTTATGTATCAGTTATGTCACTATTATACTACTTTTATTGTCTTGTTAGATAAATAACTATGTTCTTGGTGTTAAATATAGAATGTCTTTATCTGGAAACCCTTTGTAGTAGAATAGTAGACGATGCGATAGAGAAATAGTCACGCATATTTTTTTATTGTATAGATCGGCAAACGAGCATGCGAATTACCTGATGTTAAGCAATCAGCGCCGCCCATGGACACCCACAACACCAAAGGGATTTCGAGTGCGTTACTGGTCTTTTAGGGATAAGGGTTAAGGATATTTAAGGATTGGGAAAGGATGGGGACCTCTCATATCTGCCAATTCGCGAATAGCTTGAAAACTGTTCAGCCTGTTGTTCTTGGTTTTCACTTGAGAAAACATTTTGAGGAACGTCTAAAAGAAGTTAGTGAAGACTTGAGATTTACGGGCGTAAATACTAAACAGACGGTACTGATAAACGAAGAAACTTATTTGCATTGGCTTTTCATCTCACTGAATAGAATAATTAAATGTGGCAGACTTAGACTAAGCCATTTGAAAATGCAGGACGCGAACCAACGACCTCGTGTCACACAGAACAAAATAAACTGGTCTAGACAAACAAAACATTGCCTGGAGTTCACTTAAACACAAGCCTACTAAGTGCCTGACACTGGAAATTCTGTAAACATAGAAATCTAGACCATATCTTAAGTTACTTTAGAGATGAAACTTCAATGTTTCTCTCCTACTTTTAAGGATTTTATGCTAAGCTAGGAATTACGATAGGATGATTCTCCATTGTTAGATACAAAACCTTGTTTTTAAAAAAAAAATAAGACTATTTGGTTGGTCTCTGTTAAATGAAAATTATTGGATATTACCCTGATATGGTTTTAGGTCTACTTACGAAATAACTGCAGTTAGTGCACAGACAATTAATGTAAAGTGTTGCCTTACTTAACTTTTAAACTTGGTCGTTTAATCCCATGAAGAAACCTTCAATCTTATCACAAACGAGTTTCGAACTTAGTAAAAAAGTAAAAACTATTTAGTATTACCATTTACTTAAAAGCTATGAATAAAAGTTGGTACTCGATTGGCATAAACATTTCTTTTTATACAGACATGGCATTCATACATTTACATTATATCTTCGGCCACAGCTCGCATAGAAAAGAGATAATCTAATTTCCAACCTTTACTTGCCATTTGACATGGTTCGACGACCCTACCGACCTCGTTAAGATGGCGCCACTGCGACCTTCCCGAAGTCCTATATCAACTTGACCTATAATCGAATAAAGATGTACTTATCTAGTAGACGTTGGCGAGTATGACTCAATGTTGCCATTTATAAAAACTATGGCAATCCTAACCTTGAATTTTTTTCTCGCAATGACAGATGAATCATACATAATGAACATGTTACGCATTTTTTAACAACTATTTAGAAAAAGAGATTTTATTTTATCTTCTGTTAACCTAACTGAATTTTAGATATTTCCCTAACTGCGAAGTCCTTATAAAGCTAGACTCGGCACAAAAAAAAATTGCATCTTTTATATTCCATCTAACCACATCGACCTCTATCGATCGGTGACCACAACACATCACATCATCTTGGCTACATATTAAAATACAAATCGCGATCTTTAAGTCAAAATCCATTGGCTAGACCAAACCATTGTGGTTAAAATATAATATAACCATAAAATATAAATTGCTAATGTGAGATCAGCCATTTTCAAGAGTAATATCAAAATCGTGTGGTTTCTCCAGATGATGATTCTACTAAACTTGTAAATGACTTATTCACTGTGCTACGAATATTATTATTAACGAATACGTCTTAAAGAATTGTGTATTTACGTACTTAGACTATACTTATTCTTACTTTCAAATGAAAGTAGATAGATACCTACCTAAAGTGTATACATTCTTGATAGAGTGAGAAGGTAAGTGCCTAAGATTGTCTTAGAATCGATCGCAATTACATTTAGCGATAAGGCCATCTATTGCATATTCATGTGGTTTGCTGTTAACACTAGTTTACATAAAATATAAGGATAATATAAAACTATTTGTGCTATATTTACCCCCAAATACGTATAATATTGTCTTTAAGTACTTGAGAAATGAGAGAAAGTCTTCGATATTTTATTGTGCAAATATATTTTCCAGATGCTCTTGTCTACATATTGAAAGGGACCTAATCAGCAGCTCTACAAAGTAATAACCCAATAAACCTCACTTAAATTTAACATAATGCCTGGGATTTTGACTATCTAAGCGAACCGTAGTCCCTGAACAAACGAAGGGACGGATGGGACACCAAATTACGTTCAGATTTACGACGTTTTATGCTTTTTATTGTCACGCGTTTTACGAGCGTGCAGTCAATAATGGCGCGAAAATTTGGAACGTCATTGCCATTCTAAAAAAAGATTATATATCTATGGACGTATGACTTTATAGTGTACCTTTGCCAAACTCGCAGGAAAATAAGTCAATCTTCTTCTTACCCTATCCTATTATAGACCTGTGGCTCATGTCCTTTAATGAATAAATGCTACTTAGAAAACTGCAATAACTTGCCAAACCAACAAATTGCTAATTCCTTATAAAAAGTGAGGAGTTAAAAGGCTTAGTAAACTAGGTTATTTCTTTCTTTGACCATGAGTAACAGTTCGCTTTTACATATAATATAATCTCTAATATACATCGACGTCTGAATATAATGTTAAAAGAACGAAACGTTACCGCGTTTACCTGATTGGATGTTTAACTTAAAGCAGGCCAATCAGGGCGCCGAACGTCATAAACAAACTCACACAAGTGACACAGAAAACGATCACGTTTGTTATTACTGCATTGATATTGTTGTTACAAAGCATCTTTATACCACTGCCACTGTAACGTACTGTCTACGTTTATAAACATTACAATGATTACAACACGTTATTAAATCAAACGCACTTCCCATCCTTAAAGTCTTGCC